TTCGAAAGCCACGGGAGAGAGATTGAAAGAAACTCAAAGTATTAACCGCAGTCTGAGTTGCTTGGGTGATGTAATTGCCGCCCTTGGGCAAGGGAAAGACGGCGCACATATTCCGTACCGAAATAGCAAGGTTCGTTTCCGAGCGTTTTACCAATTCTCAAACATGGACATTTGAGCTAATCTTCTGTCATTTAGCTCACATACCTCCTCCAATTTTCCTTGGGAGGCAACTCTAAGACGTTAATGTTCGTCATGGTCAGTCCTAGACATGAGCATCTCAGCGAAACCCTTACCAGTCTAAAGTTCGCGACCAAAGTCCACAACACTCACATTGGGACCGCGAAGAAACAGACGAGAATTATTCGCGAATCGTAATGATTCCTTATTAAACTTCCTGAGATTTATTTGTATATTTTTTTTTCATCGCTGGTTGTTGGTTTGTATGGCATACCCGGAAGCCTTTGAACGATTTGGCTGGTTGAGATTTTTCTTGAGTTATATTCAAGTTTGGAGTTCCGGTTTCCATCTTCTTCTTAACTCGCCCCATCCACCGAATTACATCATATACAGAGCTATGTACATCTAAATGATGTACAGTTAGCTCTTTTTTTTGCTTTGAATTGATCGGCGCGGATATATTTCATCGAATTGAAGAAACCACGGCATGGTTCGTTCTCATGGTCAATGAAATATACGTGCGATATGCTTCCAGCATTCCCGAATATGCCACCGATATCGATTTGTTTATGTGACAGTGTGAATTCCCACCTCTTCCTTACTCACTGCCTTCTCATCCGTAAAGAAACGTCACCCAGTTATACTTTGGGCACGTGGCGTAGTGGGTAAGCCTCAGGTCGGACTGTTCGTTGGGAACAGCCAGGCACCACTAATGGAACAATCATTCATTCCGCTTCCCAGCATGCCGCAAGAAATTTCTTTAATACCGTAAACATTGCGTCCGGTTTCTCCAGCCAAGAGAAGGGATCACATTGATCCAATACAACAACGGTTGCTTGATTCAGACCGAGATTCCTCGTCTGCTCTGCAGTTCCTGAAGTGCAACGACAATATTGTCCGCCAAATATAATCAAAGTCTTCGCCGTGACAGCTTTGATCCCGTCAATCATAAGTTTACACAGCGCGACTTTCCGGTTGCATGCCCTCATGCTCTCCAGATAGCTCACTGAAACTTGATCATCAACCAAGAAGTCGGTGATCGATGAGTATTATCAGCCTGCAATATTGCTGTGGGTTCATTTCGGCGTATGCCAGCGCGATGTTGCCACCATGCCAGCGTACCAGCAGTGCTGGAAAACGGTCAATATTTAAATACTGTCGAAACAACTTGAGGTCCGCGGCCATGTTGAAGATGGTCATTTCAGAGGGATCTGTGGGTCGTGAAGAACCTACTGATCCTCGTAGATGAAAGAAGACGAGCGTGCTGTCGACTTCTAGAGTGTGATGGCTGACTGGAGATACCGCGGTCCTATTCCCCAGCCTGGACACTGTATGACGACCATTCGATCATGACTAGTTGGTGCATTGCTCTGGACGGTGTATTTGAATGTTAGGCCATTAGGGGAGCTTGAAGATGTGAGTGCCTAGTGATAGCTGGTCCATGTTTTAGAATATATGTATGTGTCCATTGAGATTTGAGAGGGACTTCTAGTGTTGAAATCGAAGAGAAAAAAGAATGTCGAGATTAACTATTTGATAGAAATAGAAGATCAATGTAGGCAACTCGTGATTATGATTCCTTTCCATCTGAATAGATGCTGTTAAAACCATATAAACCTGTGTAGACACATACGCCTCTATACGCGAGGGTTGCCCTTTTCCGTTTAAGGGGGATGGAATAGGATCAGAATTGCCACTGCTTGAATGTTCCCGCGAAGGTCCAAGATTTGACATTTCCCAAGTTTTATTTCACTAACTATTTGGTTATAGTTGGGCAGTCGATGACGTGGTTCCAATGTTATTTGGGTAGTTGCACTATGCATTAAGTAACTATATAAACCAGGAATACGTATCGCAGGGTGGCTAGAATGATTATGACAGTGGAGTTATAGATAGAGACCTACGAGATTTAATTCTTTTTGTATATTTTCCCCAGGAACTCATAATGCCTGCATATACAGGATCATATACACCCTGGAGGGCCGTTGAAGCTCTGCACTGGTAGCTAGGAGAACAAGAAATGACGAGACGAGCTGGAACAGTTCCGTTCTCATTCTCTCAAATCGCATCAGAACCTCCCCGAGTGTCACGTTCACTTTCTGTTCGGCTCCCTTCCTTTGCAGAACTCGACGCCGCATCCCAAACATATGAAAACGATCTGCCAAATTTCACAGAATGGAACCGCAGCCACGTAGATACTCTCCCTCTCCCAACGATGGGTCGTCCTTCGGAGGGGGATTGGACATGGATGGCATGATTATCGCCGCCGTGGCTTAATACCAATAATAGCCGTACAATTGGGGTTCGATACCGCAGTATTCGATGTACGTATCTGGTCGGATGTCCAAAAGCTAATCGGACGATGGTTCAGTTCCGGGATATGTTGATGGCCTGTGTTTATTCTTCGGTCCCATCACGTGAGGCCCGTTTCTACGGATCCCTGGCTTCCATGTCCATGGTGATTATTGTATCGATCTTCCCAGCCATGCTCCGGGATATTGTAGCTTTATCCCTAAATTCATCAGGCAAATGTCTGATATAACTAACTAATCAACACATCAGAAGCCTCTCCCAGAGTTGAATCGGTAACGTATAGGAACCTTGCCATGTGCTTGTAAACTCAACAACATCTGGGAATCCTTCAGGAGTCGGTAGTTACTAGTGGTTCAGATAGGTTGGTCTGCACGTTGGGCATATTTCTATGTATTTGCATAATTAGTTCCTCAGAGATTCTGTTAATTCTGCAGTCAGTTTATTTGACCTTTCCAAGGGGCAATTTTGGACTGTAGCCGTATTGAGCGTACCAGGGAATATAGTTATCGTTCTAGCTTCAGCTGCAGTATTCTCCATGTATCCATGTCGGCATTGCTGGCGTGCTTTTGACAGAACTTTCAGAGCTTCTCTTGAATTCATATTAGCTTTCCTTTGCTGCAGAAGTGCTTTAATCGACACAGGGGTAGGAAGAGGGGTACATTCGATGAGGCGGGTAGGAAGATCTGGGTCCAGTAACTAGCGGGATAACTAGTTAACTAGCCGCCTTGTCACCGTTCATCTACGCCCAGTATGTCTTCATTTAAGAGTCTAATAATTTATGTTATTGGCTTTTACTATAGTCTAGTTGCTTTGAAATTAAGTTTTGTATTGTTAACAGTTAAGTTAGCTAATTGTGGAACTTATAATAATACTAATGGAATATTTTAGCTCAGAAAGAATTTAAATTTTAAGTCTTTTAGTAAGTTCATCTGCAAAACAATGTTAAACACCCTGACGTAGAGCTTGGAGACCAACTAAGCTCCACTGTAGAGCCCTCATCTGCGTAAGCAAGAAATTCTCTCCAAGAGCGGCACACACCACAAGGGGCAGTGGTAGCGCAAGCATGACGAACACAAAGACAAGTAGATTATTCAAAAAGAACCATTCATCCTCTAAGAGTGCTTCAGCTGAAGGCCTCTCCCTCGAATCTAGTTATGATTTTAAGGATAAAAATCTCTATCCTCTTTTAACACCTCTTTCGTCGAGATTCGCGTGAATGAAAGGTATCTGCTTTTCTGGTAGCAGAGACTGATAAATAAGATATTCGAAGTCTCCATGGCCTGCGATTTCTTGGTGGGAAAGGGGAAAGGGCCCAAAGAATTTACACTGGCATATAAGGATTTTGAGTTCAAAGTCATCGTGGCCAAAAGGAATATCTGGTTTGAAGATGAAAAATTATCACCATATATATCAAAGTCAGGAGCTACATAGGCGAATGAATTCGTTAGTTTGATCCATATCGTAAAAATTGTCCAATATTCTGTCCAAATAGCACTGAAAGACCATATCCTGGATGGTGTGCCCCATTCTATCTTCATATAGACTTCAGGGGCTTCGCCGTATGGGTGCTCTGATCATATCGCCGTCCTTCGCATATGCTAAATCAGCTGGCAGAGTGCTCCCCTATCCGCCAGAAGCTAAAAATCAGTAAAGAGAATTCCTTCCACCCTGTAGTTATTAATGAGGACACTGTCAGGCTTAACATCTGATGGAACTAAATATTAACCACTATGTACGTACTTTCACATGTGGGAAAAGGAAGAGGGTGAAGGTAAAATACCTGTATGTACGAATCAGCCGGCATGCAATAATTTCAGTACCTTGAGAATCCTTCTGGCACCGTACTTGACTTCATGCATCGTTAGTTTCTGTGATGAGGAGGCCTTTAAGAGGTGATCATCCAAGTGCTGTGTAAGCTGTGTAAAACACAAGCTGGAGGATCTGATGGATTGATAATCTCCCTTTTGAGAATTCGCCCGACGCGGAACAACCCAGCCATGTTACCTCTCGAGGATGAAGGCTAGGTGTTTGATGGGAACATGGTTCTGGTTTCAATGGGTGAATTGCTATGCTCGCGACTGCTGGACTGAGACCTATCAATCAATTGCCATGTAGTTATCGCATCTTGATGAAAATCCTGGCTCAATGTAACTAATGATTGTACACAGGGGGTTAAAGTTAAGCAACCACCAGCTTTTAACTAGTTAACTAACTAGCAAATGGGGTCACACTTTACTTTGTTTTTGAGACTTCTCTCAGGGTTTCACTTAACACTCATCTTTCTCCATTGTGAGATGCCAAGTGATGAATAACTCATTTTCAGCAGAGAAACTCGTTTTTATATCAGTTGACTTTATTGGTGATGTTAATAATATCTATATCTCCATCTCAGCCAACAGCTATTAGTTACTCCTGTTTGACTGATGTCGAGTTCACTGGGTTAGTTAATTTCTAGCTGACAGCAGAATCTTATTCATTTTAAATATCTGGGAATTCGATCCAGCGTCAAGATGCCCAACATATTTAAGCAGCAGTTGAGCAATACGCCTCGCGAGGTAATTAACTGGAAACTAGGTCTGGGGATTTTATGCTTCGGCATTATGGGAGCTAGTCGAGGTGAGTTTATACTACAATACATTTAGCGCTGTGTTGATGCTGTCGTTGAGTGTTTTTCCGATGGCTAATTGTATTTTCCGGCAGGAGTTGACGAAGGGCTTATCTCAGGGACGGTGCAGCAAAAATCGTTTATCGCTGAATACCACTTGAAAGATCCCAACATGAGTGAGGAAGAGAGGGCGGAGAGATTGGGAAACATAACTGGCATGGTTCAGATCGGAAGTATTGTGGGTGCACTACTGTAGGGTTCTATGTATATCCCTTTGAGGTAGAATACAAGTCTGATTCATGTAGCGCATTCATCGTGACGGACCGTATCGGACGCATCCAGGCAACGCGACAGCTCTGTGCAATTTGGGTCATTGGTATCGTGATATTCATGACAGCAAATGGTCGGATCGGGCAGGTGTACGCTGGCCGGTTCATTGCTGGCATTGGGGTGAGAACATTAAATTTCACCCCTCTCACTGAGGCTGCACATTGTTAAGTTCGAGTTTTCCAGGTTGGACAAACTACAGTGGTTGCTCCCACGTATCTAGCGGAGGTTTCCCCTCGAGCAATTCGCGGCCTTTGCATGTGCTCATTTTCCGGCTCGGTGTATCTTGGTATCATGCTGAGCTATTTTGCAAGCTGGGGTAGTTCGATCCATATTAGTGACGGCTCTAATACACAATGGGTAGGAGTTCATTTCATACTTTGTTAAGCCCTCATTCTTTCCCCCCAGAGTGCCAGCTGTGTTCTCACCATGGTTTTCATTTCATCCGTTAAAAAAAAACATAAATAAAAAAAAAAAAAAACCAACAATCAGATTGTGCCGACAACACTACACATCATCTTCGCTGGAATCATTTTTGTACTCTCGTTCGCGGTTCATGAATCGCCTAGATATTTAATCAAGGCCAAGAAACAAGAGGAGGCTCTTAAAACCATGTCAATATTGCGCAATCTCCCAACTGAACATCCATACATTCAGACAGAGATGATGGATATCCAGGAGCAGTTAGACCGAGAACACGAAGCAACCTTGGGGTCACACTTCCTTGGCCCACTTAAGGAGTTGTTTCTATTACCCTCTAACCGGTACCGTATCATGATCGGGCTGATGTCACAGCTGCTCAGTCAATGGTCGGGAGCAAACAGCATAACCATCTACGCGCCCGAATTTTTTGCCATGTTGGGGACGACAGGGCAATCGGAGAAACTTTTTGCCACGGCAATTTTTGGTGTCGTTAAACTGGTGTCTTCTCTTATCTGTGCCCTCTTCCTGGTTGATTTATTGGGACGCAAAAGGGCTCTTGGATATGGAATATCATTCCAATTTCTGAGCATGCTCTACGTGGCAATTTACCTAGCAGTCATTCCATCGATCGAAGGCGGGTTCAAGCCGGAAGGGCACTCAAAGCGCGCTGGCACAGCAGCAATTGTGTGCATATATGTATCTGGAGTGGGTTGGGCACTTGGCTGGAATAGCATCCAGGTTTGGCGCCACGGTCAGGTCACCATCTCATTCGAGTTGATACCTCTAACAACCACGTCATCCTGCAGTATCTCATCAACGCGGAAATATTCCCGCTTCGAGTGCGAGCCCTGGGTACATCGATGGTGATGTGCTTTCACTTCGCAAATCAATAGTAGGTCCTCCTCCAGTCAATATTAAATGGCAAGCATCCTGACTAAGAGATCGAATCAATGTGGCTGAACCTGAATTGAACCAGTGGTAATTCGAAAGCTGTCCCGACCATGCTGCTTGACACAGCCATGAAGCCTTACGGGACTTTTTTCTTCTTTGCAGCAGTTACACTTATGGGGTTAGCATGGATGTGGTTCTTCCTACCAGAAACCACCGGCAAGTCGCTGGAGGCGATGGATGAGATGTTCAGCTTGCCATGGTATACAATTGGTCGAAAAGGGGCGAAATTAACTGCGGGAAGTGGACACGCCGAGGGGTATTATAATGCAGGAGATACGGAAGAAGCCCCTGTCTCAGGGAAACCACTTCCACAAGAGCCCCACCCCTAGTTATCGAAACGAAAGGGAGAAAACTATGGAAGCGGTTTAGGGGTGTCACTGAGACGGGTTATGGAGATGTCCTATTTGGTTGCAGTTCCAGTTGCAGTTGCATTGCAGAATTGTTGTTATAGCAGAAATCCGTCTCCAGAGCATCAGCCGAGGGCTCCTGATATGATAACTATATGACATCGGGTACCAAATGCATCCCTTCACTTTTCCCCTGCTTGTGGTGAAAGGTCATGCTTTGGTGTGCATAGTTTGAATCGATTAAATTCAACCCTCCGTAACTTCCCTTCAGAGCTTGGATGATCAAGTGTAGTTAAGTAACTTGCTAACTAGTAGACTGCGAGCGTGAGATAACTACCTGTCAGTCTGCAACCAATACCGCAACCCCTCTAAACGCTGTGGTGATATGTATTCAACGTATTCAACATCAATCAGCTCTTCTCTCGTACACTTACACTAAGCATATGCTGTTTGTATTTAACCCCAGCTCTTATCACCCTTGTTGTTCACATGTCAATCCGCGACTGCTGACTAATCCTCGCGCCTTAACTAACTATAACCAGTTACTTGTTTAACTACGTTCGACTACTTGGCTAACTTGGTACTTGTTAATTAGTTATTTTCCTATCCCCAATCGTTCCATCAAACCAAGCCCCCGTCAGCGAAGTCCCCACGATGCTTTTTGGTAGAGTCAGGCCAGAAGAGCCAACAATCAGAGAAATCACCCGCTCCAGAATCTCCATTCCGCCATTCTATATACAATAATACATACATAATGGATCTTGGTTGGCTATCCGGGCCTTGACATCGTTCCTCCGTCTGCATCATCCTCTCGTCAGTTTTGACCTGACGGGTCGCTGGCCACGAGGAGACAAATTATATTCTTCATCCCCCATACTTGGATTTGTATCGCTTCCGGCTCTTCTCCGGCATGGAGAAATTCTCTCAGTTCCGAGATAGAGGTATGCGCCGTGCGAAAGCATTTCTTGAACAGGACATACAACTATGTGACTACCTAGGTATATATATATGTACATTAAACAGCCCCTCTCTAACAACCTTCTCCAGGCTCGGGTATCGCCCCTTTTCTGCCCATCCCCTCTCATCCGTCAGGCTTCTACCTTCCTCTCCACATCTTCCTCTTCTGCGTGAGGCTTCCCCTGCTCGCCACTGCGCTTCTCGCTTATTTCTGCGTTCTACAATGGCTGCCCATAGGATCCCTTGGTAAAAAGGCATCTCTCTGGGTAATACTAGGAATTCCGGGCATATGGTGGATTGATCTGCAGATCGATGGCGTTAAGAAAGGGTATGCGTTTCCCTCGTGTGTGATATGATGTCTTATTTTTATTTATTTTATATCTTTATCTCTCCCCCCCCCCCCCACCTCTCCCGCGATCTGGTATTGTTTGTCTCACTTATCTATCCTGTGATAGCTCGTTGGCCATGCATCACTCTACCCACCTTCCAGGTCCCGGATCCGTCATTGCTGCATCTCTTACCTCCCCCATCGATGCTCTCTACCTTGCCGCTATATTCGATCCCATATTTACAGTTTCCTATCCGTTCACGCGCAAGGTGCAGCAGATCTCCCTAGGGCAGGCCATCCTTCGGGCATTCACTGGTCCAGAAGTAAACCCACCCGCAGATGCGCGCCTAGTCGATCTAGCCACCCTAGCAAAACGGAATTCCAAAAGCCCCATCGTCGTGTTTCCGGAATGCACGACAACAAACGGCAAAGGCATCCTTCAAATGAGTCCGTCTCTCGTCACCGTGTCTACAGTAACTAGGATCTTCCCAGTCAGTCTACGATACTCACCGGCGGACATCACCACCCCGATACCAAAATCATACAGGACCTTCCTATGGAATCTTTTAAGCAAACCCACGCACTGCATCCGCGTGAGAATAGCGGAGAGTGTTCTGCTTCTGGTGAGCTCCAATCGTGAATCCCGTCCAGCAACGGTGGATCCACAACCATCGTATGATTATAACTACTTTGACACATTGGACGCCAAGACGACCCATTCCGTTGTGGATCTGGATGCGTCGTTGACAAGCGGGGAGAAGACGCTTTTAAACCAAGTTGGTGAGTCCCTGGCACGGCTGGGACGAGTAAAACGGGTTGGATTGGGGGCGAAGGACAAAGAGCAGTTTGTCAAGTTATGGACCACAGTTAAGCGGAAATAGCATCAATAATGACAATAATGTTTTATGTTTTATGTTTTCTTAAATTAGGTACCTGCCCATCTATCCATAATCATTAGTTTTCTCAGCGGAGAATGTGAGAATCACACGATTTAACATATATATATTCCCATTTCCCAGTTTAATTACCTAGGTACACCTACACTAGGCAGTATGCGTATATACAGCACAAATTTCTCAATCCGCACCCACACGGATTGTCCGCTCCCTTTTCATCATACCCTTCTTCTCGTGCATGAAGTTAACAGCCACCTGGATTTGCTACCAGGGGTTCAGCGTTAGGGTACATTGCCAGAGTTGGTCTGTGGAGCTATATGCAACTAGATCTCGCCCTTGCAATGGTTAACTACGCAGCAGCTATCCTTGGCTGCGGGGTCAAGTTGTTAGTTCACTATGTAACTAGTTAACTATCGATGCCTCTCGTTTCGCAGATCCGCAATGATCGCCATCTACTCCGTAGTTGAGGCCCCCATCCGGATTCCATTGTATGTTCCCATGTTCCATTGGTCCAGGGTCCCGAAACCGGCCGTAGAACTCCAGGGGAGAAAGTGAAAACATCAAATCAAGAATCCTCTTGAATGCGTTGGAGATGAAAGTCCATTCGAAATCATTGGCTATGCTCTTGTTTGCCGTGACGATGGTCGCCGCAGACCCCATAATTCGATAACTACTGTCGACCGTGGGACATGTATATTATATTGCAATAAAAAAAATCATCGATAAGCTCAATTAGAGTTACTTAAACTAGTCAACTACCTTTTTGATCAACCAACCGAAACATGAACAACTTCGACATGAATGAGGCCAACAGCATCTCGTTTCAAATCCTCAAGTGAACGTTTAAGAGTAATAAGAAACGCCATAAATATCCGTGAATAAAACCCCCCAACTGCTCAACCACTCGTTATAATTTAGTTTCGCCCCGCTAACAAATATCTAGTGAACTGCTCCGTGCTCCACAACTCCGCAATAACTAATAAGTTCGCGAACGGAAGCCTGGTAACTAGGCGAGTATTTACTTCGTTCAATATTCGCCAATCAGCCCGCTATGTTAACAGCAAAGGAATATATTCAGCATAGGCTGCTGTTTGGCCAACAACTGCGTTCCAAGCTCTAACCACCACTACTGAGGACCTGAACGCCGTTTTGGGCCATCGAGCCGCAGCTTCGAAGAGGCCAGTATCTCGTTATGGATACGGATCTGTCATGAGATGTTCTAAGCGGACACTGCCGCACCAACATGTCTGGCGAAGCTTGATGCGCGCCATCGGTCGGATCCTGGCCAATGGTGCAAGCATTGGGCTGCCTCCCAGTCAAACATTTAACCAGAGGCTAAAATGTACTTCGGAGCCTCGGAGAGAACAGCCTCCAGACGAAACGGAAATTGACTAAATCTCGGCGGGCTGAAAAATATCCCATAACAGACAGAGGATCCCAAACATTCATTATCAACGCATCGCTGATTATACCCAAATACTCTACCCTTTTGAAACTGGATGCCCCGAAGGTGAAATGGAATTCCACACCCACCTCGACTAACACCTAACAACAACAGAGGTCTAACATCTAACCTTGATTTAAATACTGAATTGCTGCCCATTGCCCCAGACATCTCTTTGATGTTGGATGCCTGATCCTTGTCTGCCAAAATCGAAAATCCATTGTGGACCCCCGGATGCCTAGAATTGCAGAACGTGGAGAATGTTCATGTTAGCAGCAATATCTCGCCCGCATCCCATCTGAGAAAGGACACGGGAAATCGTGCACCATCTCCGACCATCTCTGACTGAATCTAACCCCAGACTTGGTGACTCTCCAAATAATATACTCCGTTTGAAATCGATCACTGATGTTGTTGGTTAACAGCTCTCCTTCTCTGCATTACTCATCATGCAATGCAGCTGGTACTGCAAACAAGCCGTTATTTCCTCCTGTCCTGTGTGTTCTGGTCATATTGATCTCAAACTGTCCCCTCAGCCTTGTGCCTCATAGAGGAAGAACCCTTCCCGTCCTTTCAGAGAACCGTTATTGTTCATCTTCCCCTCAGTATTTGGGTTCCATTATCGTCTGCGACAAATAACCTCCCTCCTTCCCCCCCCCCAAAAAAAAAATAAGGGGGCAGCAGAATGACGTTTCTCGTTAAACCACTCCCGGATGTCTCCCATCGTTATCGACGCTCAAACACGCCCACCATCAGCACACCGCTCCCTTTCCCGCCGTCGTATTACGATCAAAAAATCTCCACTCCCGTACTGAGTCCTCCCCCTGTACCCACGGACCTCGTCAATCCAGATTATTCGCAACATTCCTCTTACCCTGCACCTCCGCACCCCGGCGCCGCCGTTGTTCAACATACCCAGAATCCCTATTATCTTCCCAACCCTGTACCGCCCCCACTGGAAGACCACCCCGCCTATCGAGTTACCAACCACTCTACGATCAGCAGCAACCGGAACAGCAGGTACAATGACTGCGACAAAAAGGGCCGAAGACGCCACACCTTTATCCCATATAGCCCTTCGGATTATGACATCTCAAGATTATCTGTTCTGTCCACACCACACCTTCCTCCAACCCCTCCCAACTCTCCGCCCTTGTCGCCATCTCTCTCCCCCGCCTCTTCACACACTCGATCTACTACTTCCGCCTGGGTATCGCCAGTACAACCCGTTCAGCAGCACGGATATTTCCCCAAATGGCATCGTCACCTTCTCGTGCAAGACAGAGGCCAGCGTACCTCCGGAGCCTCCACCCATGCTAGCCTCAACAGCGACACCGATCTAGACCACAGTTCTAGTGGATCTGCTGATCTTTCCGACATTCTTTCTGGAAAGCTTAACGAGGTTATTACCTCCATTGACGGGCAGGAGTTTAGCGGCATGGAAAGAGATTTGCGTAAGCTCGAAACGAATTTAGTATATTGTCCGTATTTTCTTCCTTTAACCGATTCCTATACAGGTGTTCAATATAGCCAAACCCAACCGTCACTCCGTGGCGGAGAATCCTCCCTCAGTTCTGGCGGTGCCCGGCCGTTCCATGCGCGAAAACGCCGCACGAGTCCCCCGTCAAGTATCAACTACTTCTCAAAGGTGTATCACTACGCAAACTCCCGGTTACCGGATTGTCTCACGCCTCTACGATTGTAAGTCTTTACCCGTGGCTCCTCTTCAGCAATGCGTTTACTGAATTGACCCTTCTCCTTTTGTGTCGTAGGTATATTCCTACATACCCACTCCTCTGTCTAGCAGCCCGCTTCTCTCAACGAGCCTACAGCAAACCTACCGGGGCCGAGCGCGAAACCCGAGTCGAGGCTGACTGGCACCTCGGTACGAAAGCAATGGTCATAAAATCTGAACTGGTCGACAACATGAACGTTATTGTGTTCGCCGTTCGCGGCACACACACCTTTCGTGACTGGGCCACAAATGTAAAATCCGACCCCACTGCTCCAGACAACTTCCTTGACGATTATAGCAATCTGTGCCATGCCGGCTTCCTCTCCGTCGCGCGGCGCATGGTCAAACCTGTAGCCGCGCGACTGCAGCAGATCCTAGATGAGAACCCTTCGCGCATCTCATGCTCACTTGTGATCACGGGCCACTCTGCGGGGGGAGCTATCGCCAGTCTATTATACATGCACATGCTGTCCGAGACGGTAAAGACGGACCTGGTGCGTATGCGAGACTATTTCAAGCGCGTGCACTGCATCACATTCGGTGCGCCCCCAGTGTCATTGTGGCCGTTGCAAAAACCCACCGGGCCCGGGCGTGAGCGGTTCCAGAAGTGGCTGTTCTTCTCATTCGTCAACGAAGGTGACCCCGTTCCCCGCGCGGATAAAGCATACGTCTGCTCTCTCGTGGACCTTTATGTCTCTCCCGCACCTCCTCTCCCCTCACTCTCTTCCTCCGCGGGAGGCAACACAACCCGACAGTCGACTTCGACAAGTTTACAACAAAAGTTTCATCTATTTGGAGGTGGCAAGAAACGTGATAATAATGCTAAGCGGAAAGACCACCACCTGATACCAACTGTGGTATGGAAGACGCCGCCAGCATTGCTCTACGTAGCGGGTAATGTGATTCTACTCAGAGGTCCCCACAGGGAACAACAGGAACATCGAGCACATGGCAAGGATCATGCGGAGGCCTTTCTTATGAAAAACGATGATTTGCAGAATGTAGTGTTTGGGGACCCTATGATGCATGTGATGGAGTTGTATGAGCGTCGGATTGAGATTTTGGCAACGAATGCAGTGACAGCGCGGTTTTCGCTGCAATGAGAAATGGTTAGGAGTGATACCGGAGTTATTGGGGAAGGTATAGATAGACGTACATTCAGCCCAGTTTTTAAATGTCTTGTGTTACATTCCAGGTCATTTGTTTCTTAACGAGCAATACTTAACTACATACTTGGGAGGAAAATTAATATTGTCAACGAAACAGTGAAGAATTTCAAATTCTCTCCTTTTCATTCATTCTGTTCAACAGCATTCTAGAACTGATCATACTCATTGAGCTCAGTTTTTTTTGTATTTGAACATTTATAGTCTCTTGAAAGTTTCATGCAAAAGGTCCGAGGTTTCCTCGCAACAACTGAACCTGATAAGGCGGATGGACGCGGTAATGGGTTTGGTAATTTTATCAGCTGCTTCTGATTACTGAAGAGGGAGAACATTGCTCCTTCGGGCATCTTGTTCGGCGGAGGTAATATAAAGGTGATATATGAGCCGAAAACAGAAACCATCATTTTCCAGATATTTACATTTTATGACTTCTAAACTCCCCCCCTATATGTTCTTTTGTAAAAAAAAAAAAAATAAAGAAAGAAAATAAATGAAAAATAAATGAAAAATTAAATGAAAAAGAAGCCAATCAAATATATATAATATATAGATATATAGATATCTCAAAACTTCATCTCCTTTGTAACCATCATGGGGCAAAAATATCAGGTAGCCTCTAAATGATAGAGAACAGGTAAACAAACGTTGGAGGTTGAGTAAAGGTATATCCATAGAGAGGCCAAAACACAAAATAAATTCTCTACAATGCGTCCGTAATACATCCGTGACTTGCGTCCTTGACATTTCTACAGGCGAGCTCGAGAATTAGCCAGAACCCCTCTTAAACGGGAAAAATGCATAGAGAGTGAAGACGGAGAGATTGAAGAAATCACAGGATAGAGAACAACGTACCTAGCATATTTACCTAGCGTCCCCCTCATTGCCAGCCCGGAAGGTGGATTCAGTCCTTGGCTCTCTTGCTCGAGCCATTTCATCCTCCGCTGAGTAAGGATCTCTTCTGATACATCGAGGTTGAGCCAACGATTTTCAGCGTCGATGGTGATGATATCACCGTTCTCGACGAGGGCGATGGGTCCACCAACGGCTGCTTCAGGAACAACATGGCCAATCAGGAAACCGTGAGAGCCACCGCTAAAGCGGCCATCCGTGATTAGCGCAACGGATGAACCAAGACCCGCACCCATGAGGGCAGAAGAAGGTTTGAGCATTTCTATGGGATAAAGGAATAAAAAATTAGCCATGAAATTCCAGAGTATACATTGAAGAGGCAAGTAAGACTGGGTATTGAAATACCAGGCATTCCGGGTCCACCCTTCGGTCCGGCATATCGAATAACCACGACTGTTTTCTCATCCATCGGAATCTCATTCCGCTCCAATGAGGCGACAAAGTCATCTTCATGATCATAGACCTTCGCCTTACCAACGAATTTCGTACCCTCCTTTCCAGTAATTTTACCGACACTACCTTCAGGAGCAAGGTTTCCACGAAGGATCTGAATATGTCCAGTTTTCTTGATGGGGTTGTTGAGAGGTCGTATGATTTTCTGATCTGCCGGAAAGTCGGGGGTCTTTTCAATGTTCTTGGCAAGAGTTTGGCCCGTGACGGTCATTCCGGAACCATCAATGAGACCCTCTCTTAGGAGGAATTTGAGCAATGAAGGGGTGCCGCCAATTGCATAGAGGTCAGCCATTACATATTTGCCAGAGGGTTTGAGATCAGCGAGGAAAGGGATGCGGTCGCTGACGGACTGGAAGTCATCGATTGTGAGTTTAATGCCAACGGAGTCAGCAATGGCGATAAGATGAAGCACTGCATTGGTGGAGCCACCGGTGATGTTGACAACCACCATTGCGTTCTCAAACGCTTGGCGCGTTAGTATATCACACGGGCGGATATCTTCTTTGAGAAGGTTCTTGATGGCTTCGCCAGCAGCTAAACATTCTATAACCTTGGCCTTGGATTCTGCTGGGTTCGATGAGGATCCTGGGAGAGTCATGCCCATAGCCTCAATTGCCGATGCCATGGTGTTGGCAGTGTACATGCCGCCACAAGCACCACCGCCGGGACAAGCATGTCGGATGATATCATATCGCTGAGCCTCGGTGATTTCGCCGGTGAGAAACTGCCCATACGCTTGGAAGGCAGAGACTATGTCAATGTCGGCATTATTTTGCGTCACAGCACAACCAGGCTTGATGGTTCCACCATAAACCATCAAACTTGGTCGATTTACCCTCCCCATAGCCATGACGACTCCCGGCATGTTCTTGTCGCAACCGGGGATGCTGATGTTGGCGTCATACCACTGTCCGCCCATGACCGTCTCGATCGAGTCTGCGATAAGATCCCGACTCTGCAAGCTGTACCGCATACCCTTGGTTCCCATGCTGATACCATCACTAACGCCTATGGTGTTGAATTGGAAACCAACAAGTCCTGCCTTCTGCACGCCTTCGCGCACCCGATTGCCTAAATCGAGGAGGTGCATGTTGCAGGGGTTTCCATTGTACCAAACGCTCGATATGCCGACCTGGGCTTTCGACATATCCTCTAGGGTTAAACCGGTAGCGTAAAGCATAGCTTGTGAAGCGCCCTGAGAAATGGGTTGCGTGACATGCTGTGAGACGCTATTGAGCTTCTTCTCCTTTGGTAGGGAGGAACATGGCAGGGGTGTTGCAGAGAAAAATCGACTTTAAAGGTGTTTGATATTAGTAACAGCAGTCTAAGCAGATGGAATGCATGTAGTAGATGTGAGCATACGAGGACAATGGGAACAGCAGCCTCCTGAAGCTGGCGGGCATTTGACGCCGAGCTTGTAGCCGGAGCATCCTGACCAGGGGCCTGTAGTGGCCTGTAGGGTCCGCGGAAATGGGACTGATCAAAGCAGGATGGCCTCCTCGTCAATCAACTGGCATATAGCAATCGGATATACCCCGAATCAACCAATTCCTGGAACTTGACACCGCGCGCACAACAGACTGGAAGATGTCCGGCTAAAATCCAGGAATGTGTCAAGACGGAATACGGAGATAGAGTTATCTATCATATCAACAGCCGAAGCTCGTATGGCCCGCAGAGACCGATTTCGGAAGAGAGGGCTTGGCGTGCAGCTGGCCAATCACGAGACGGCGTATTGGTCAGCGTAAAGTTTGTAGCCAACTATAACTAACTAACTAACTAGTTAACTAGTTAACTAACTTAACTAGTCACTGTTCAAACAGCCGAAGATCTAAGCTATTAGTAAACTAGTTTAGTTTTTTTTTAATCAGGTTTTAGACAACATTATTTCCCTCCGAACTTGACCACTGCATCACGTGATATTAGTCAGGATTCGTAATCTTATAACAAAATGTTGTAAACCTATTCTTTTATCTTTTTAGAGAGACAAGTCATATAGTAAATTCTATTAAAGATTAAAACGTGACTAATCTTCTCAAATTACTAACTACTTATACAAGATATGACAGGTTATAAGAGTTTGATATCATATGCATATCATATGACTTAGTGATCAAGTTCACAGGGTGTTACGGCTTCAATCTAGGCGCCGATGAACAGGAGTTTGATTGCCAACTAGATAAGCTATTTCGACGCATACCAAGGTGAATTACGAAAGAGGGGTCTGAGGAAGGATCTCCATATGTACGTATTTCCGTAGGGCGGTTGCTAGGCCGTTTCTATTACCCTTCATAGCCCGGTGGACAATGCCATCACACAGGGTAATCAAGTTTATAGAGAAACACATTATAATAATACTTTTAGAGGAGAACAAAAGCAAAAACCTTAAAGTGGCAAATAAAACAAAGAAGAAAATGAGAAAGAAAAGAAATCATATATGTATAAATTATTATTATATTTTTTTTTTAAAGTCAAAGAGGGAATAACTTTGTACAAAGTATGATTGAATGAGGAAAAAAGATAACAGAGTGCTGAATTTTAATCATGAAAGAAAGGATGCAGTATCGTAGTGTAGCGTATATAAGATTACTTGAACATACTGCTCACACATACTCTCAATAGGCAGAAAATAGTTTATAATATAATTCATTAGTTTTTGGTAATAGTTCGAGGCTTAAAGGCATCTAATTAACAGTCAAAAATAGTGGTTCGCTTGCTTATATTACGTTCCACTCGAGAGCGAGTCATTACTACTCGGTATTTACTACCCCGACTTAACGATGATTAGTTGAATCTGCACTTTCTTACCAGTTACTGAACTGGCTGGTGTGTATGTATTAGCTATGCACATGTGCATGCACATTATCATGTTCTTAACTATTTTGAAAATTTTGCTTATTTACACAGAAGCGAATGAAAGGCTGTGCGAGGAGAAGTTTGTAGGTGAAAGCAGAACGCGGTGGTCGCATCACGTCTGACAATACACAATAAAAATATAGAAAATGAGGCAACTGGAGGAGCAAAGAGCCCTTGCCGTGAACCCATACATACTCTCACTTCATGATCTGTCTCATGATGGTGGTGGGTGACAATCCAAAAAAAAATAAATAAATAAAAAAATAAACAGGGTGGGATAGAGAAAAGCGAGCGGCCTGTTGCAAACTTCATGAGGAGCGTTATGGTATCAATAAACAAGGGAGTATAAATCTATATAGAAAGAGAGGAAGGCGGGAAAGGAAGAAAAAGGGAGGAAGGTGAAAAAAAGAAAACAAAGGCTGGAGACTAGAAGTAAGTGAACAAGAACAGGTCGATAGATTCCAAAAAGGGGGTGACTGAACGGTGAGAAAAATAAGGAAATAATAAATAAAACAAAAACACTCAGCTCTCTATGGAACTTCTGCATCCCCTCTCTTCAACCCTCCCGGAACATTGATCGCTTCCTGCACCCACGGTATCTTCGCGATCTCATCCAGACTCATCCGCTTCATGCTTTTCCGAAGCAGGCCTTCAACACAGGCCCGTGCACCCTCCCGTCCCTCTCCCCTGGCAGTATCCCACTCTCCATTCTCATCTGCGAATCGGTACCACGACCATTCGCAGCGGGCTATTCGGTGTGGAGTTCGCGCTCGAAGCTTGTTAGGGTCCCCTTTGGTTCCGGGCAACGGATCAAAAGGAAGACGGCTTTCCATGATCGCATAGAGCAGGACTCCCATCGCCCAGGCATCTGTTGACCGGCCATCATACGGTTGACCCATAAGTATCTCTGGGGCCGCATAGTCTTCACTACCACACCTCGTTTTCAAAAGAGGGCTTTCAGGTGGCTGAGGGATGCGCCGCGATAGGCCTAGGTCACTCAGCGTGACAAGGGCACAAGGATACGTTTGCCAATCGGAGACATCCTGTATCACTGGCGCAGGAATATTGACCAGCACATCTAGAAACAGGAAATTAGCAGCGAGACTTCAAAATACAATGACAGAAATTTGAAAGTATAAAAGTGGAAAAAAAAAGGCTGTGGTGGGAAAGAATCAGCGGGTAACTGTACTCTCAAGTTTAATATCACGATGCACAATAAAGTTTGCGTGCAAATATCGCACCGCATCCACAAGCTCTGCAAATATTCTCCGGATAATATGCTGTGATAGAGGTGTCACTGCTCTACTAGCGAACTCAAAAAGGTCACCACCAGGACAGTGGTCCAAAACCAATAAGGCTCGTTTTTTATCGCTTCCAAATGCTTTCAACTGGACGAGCGATGGGTGGTTGACGGACTTGAGAATCTCAACCTCCCGGTGTAGCGAGATTTCCACTCTTTCTTCGTCCGCACCACCAGCTGGACCGAACTCGACAACTTTTATTGCCACCAACCTAGGTGGCATGGTTGTATTGCTACCGGCAGCAGGGCATTCATTATCTCCGGGATCGTCTCTCACAGCAAGAATCACCTGGCTGAATGTTCCCTGACCTAATCTGCGGAGCATTCGGTACCTGCGAGGCTGCTGTGTTCTCACAGATTTGACACAGTATATAGGAGCGTGAGAGGTCGGTGCCACCAGCGTTGGTACCACATCAGTATCGCTACTATCATAACTACTACGAGCACTATGTGGGGGTGTTGGAGGACAAACAAGCGGGGGCAGCGCTATTCCACGTTGTACAGCCAAATATTCCTCGCGATGCATGTTGGTGCGACCAATTATTTCTTGATGGGATAATGCGCCATTATGTGGTATAGCATTTGGTAGCGAGGATTTGTGGGGTAAAGGGAGATGGGGGGCCTCTTGGGAATCATCACTCAGACTTTGATTGAGACTTTGATCATTCTGTCGGGTATGCTCAGAGGCAGGCTCGAGGTCAGACGGCTGAGATTCAGGAGCCAGACCACCGGAAACATGGCGTCTGGTAGATGAGGATCTATGTACTCCTTCCGATGACCCAATCCTGCGGATACTGAATGTAGATCTGCTTCTCGAGGAGGTGGACGGTGTCCGGGACGGTGGATGGATCGTTCCGGACCTCCATGGCGGGCAACCTGGTAGAATAGGCGACGGCAAGGGGGTGATATCGGTCAAGGCAGCTAATTGTGGGGAAGAGATGACAGAGCTGGGAGAAATTGACCCGGCACAGGAGTGCGCCGCTGTAAGGGCGTTTCGAATACTTGGTGCCCGGCGGGGTAGACTGGTAGTCGATGTACTAGCACGAAGGGATATACTAGGCTCACGAGAGATGTCGGATGAGGGCACAACGGAGGGACATATCGTTGGCAAGTCGGTACATATTTGAAGAGAAGGCGTGCGTGGCAGTGAGGTTAGGTCATGGTTTTGCGACGAGTGAAGGGTATCGATCGGAGGAGAGGTAGTAGAGGTATAGTTGCTTCCCATGTTGGAACGGTCTTGCTCTGGGCGAGCAGAATCTTCATCTTCCGGTGTGGAAGTATAACTGGGCCGTTGCGATCCGGTGGAATCTAAGAGGCTAGAAGACGGCGTGCTCGTAGGAGCATAAAGCGGAGGCATGCGTCCATCCGGGGAAGGATGGGGGTCCGCGGGGAAGAGGGTCCGTGGAGTGAGCTCATTCTGGCAATATGGCAGCTCTATCACGGGTATTACTGGTAACGGTGGGAGACGATGCATCGCCCCACACCCTGTAAGGCTGTTAAGCTCTATGGGCGAGGTGGCGGAGATAGCGCTAGCCAAGTGTTGAGGCGAAGATCTCGCGGCAGCTGGTAGTTCGGACACGAAGTGCCCCCTGGACAATAGCAACGAGCAGCACAGGGCGTTAGCAGTGGACAGTATATCAATATACCTTAAACACTGAGATATGTCGAATGTGTCCGCATATATAGAATGTTAAGCGAGGGTGGAGAGTTGAAACCGCGGGTGGAAATTGCGCAGAAATTTAGACGTTAAGCAGGCGGGGACAGAGGGCAGAACGCGCGTCCCCGATTTGGCAGAAGGAGCCTCAATTGGGGCGTTCAGCTGATTGTGGAGGGTGACAGCCAATCACAAGGCGCCGTGGCTGCATGGATGGGGAGAAATTTGGTGGGTTCAGATAAGGTTTTCGACCCTAAGCCCTTTCTGGTGTGCCTCCTAAGATAATGGGCGTAGTTAACTATGGTTGCGGAAAACGGCTTATGATATCATCAGGCAGATTATTATGATCTATATATAGACACCTCTAGACCGAGAAATCTCAAAAGCAAACAGAGGGTGTTAACAGCAAAAAAAAAAAAAAAAAAAGATGTGAAATTTGGATTTTATTACGATTAGTTAGTTTAGTTAGTTGGTTGGTTGGTTAGTTAGTTAGTTACAGTTACTTATCACTGCGGCACTGGGTTCGCCCTTCCAATGAACCTCCTACAACAAATGTAAATAACTATCATCCGTACGGAGAAATCCGTATGGAGAAATATTTTTAAAGTTCTGTACAATATGTACAATTCATTGCCTTTGCCTTGCCAAACACCAAGACTACGGCAGTTCAAGTTCGAGAATTCTCGTAATACTTTTCCCATCCTTTTAACTTTCCCGTCCACAAAGTCGTCCCAGTTAAAATCAGAGGGAAACGGGATACATCCCTCAGGCGCCGTATCAGCAACATCGTCTCCACTGTCGGTGTAGTTCGTCCAACCTACCATCCCACGTGTAATGTTTGAGTTTGGCCGCCACGTCGAGGTCAGCAGGCCTTTCCTTTTCCGTCTTCTTGGCTTCAAGGGTTGTTTCCTATATAGGCCTTGTTGTTAAGTTCTTTCTCCTGTGGTTGCCACCGCACCAAAGACCAAAAATTAAAATGTTAACTAGTTAGTTAGCCAACTTACATGACAAACAACCGCCATTTTCGCTTGTTGTGATTCCCCTCCTAGAAGCGCCTGCATGAGTTCCCCAAAATCAGCCTCATCACAGAGAGCTTTCCAACCCTCCAAGTTCTCCATGTCTGCATCATCATCATCATCATCATCATCATCAATAATCCGCCCAGCTATCTTGTAGGACCAGACTTTCTGGTAACATCCCCGCTTCTTGACAAAGGCTCGGGATCCACTTCCAGCCAGGGATGCTGCTTGAGAGTCTACCACATTTGCAGGTGAACTATCATCCGAAGGCAATGCTGCAAGGTTCAAATGCATCACGAGGCCATGGCGCAGCATTGCGCACTCAAAGTCTTCTAGCTGGCAAGACCTAGGAAGGTATATATCAAATGCCATCCATTCGCCTGGTAGAAGATCAGACATAACACGAAATTGTACCCTAGTTGACGGAACACATTTCCCTGTCGCTTCGTCCAACCTGGCCAACTTCTTGTATGCATCCGTCGCTCGCCCGGAGCTGAGAGACGCGATCTCCTCCGCGGATACCCCCGTCTTCAAAAGCCGTTGATCGATTTCTTGAACGGCCCCTGGTATAAGTTTTATATGTTTCTTGATCATGTTTTTCACGTGCTCTTCATGCGCCTCCCTATCTACAACTTCTCGAAACTCTTCGTTGACTCCTGTGCCCATACGAGAACTCAGCTGTAGCTCGTCAGCATCTCCTCCTATGTTGATTGTCGACATACACATGTCGCGTGGCCCCAAATGAGAAGTTCCAAAAATACTATCTGGATTCCATTCTGCAGACCAGCCAACGTGTCCCTCATAGTTCCCCTTGTGCCAAAGCCAGTTTATCATATCATCAACTGTTGCCATCCGCTTTTCATTGTCCCCAATGGTAGACTCCATTTTGCCTCCTGTAGGTTAGATGAAGGGACCCTTTCCTCTGCAGCCTGCAAGGGGTAAACTCGATCTCTGCCAACACGTAATTCGCACAGAGCTCTAATGACAGGAAGCGCCCCCTGGAAAGAATTGGATAGGTAGAAGTGTCCAAAAAGAGCGATTAACAACAAACGGGTTCACAATTTCACGAATGGTGAAAGATATGGACGCCTTCTCAAGTGTTGGTAATCGCGACGATCTTCTGTTGTTGTTAGGTTGAAACATATTAAGGATACATCAGAATATCCTGGGTACTTACTAGCTCTAGTTGTTTGCCCGGCAACCAATGCGTTGACATTGTACCTACAAACACCTGTTGGAACAAAGAGAGTTGAAAACTTGGATTTAAACTTACTCCGCAAAATATTCTCGTGCTTGCGTAAGTCGACATGCTGTGAGAGAGCATCGGACTTTCCACAAACACGAGAGAATTCCTCATGAGGTTGGTGGTGATTTCCTGGGCTGCTGAACAACTATATACCCATAGTTTATACGTATTTTGCCCAATGGATACATGGACGAAATCAATGATTGGTATGCGAGGGGGAGAACATGTGGAGGAATAGTTTCAGAACAAAGAATATGATTTAGTTGAAACTAAGAATATGATAACGAGCTAAAATTCGAAAAACAGGGAACATTCCATGAACCGATGGTCGACATGGAAAAATGAGTAGAGGAAGGGAAGAGAAAATTAGCGAACAAAAACGCCCACCAGAACCCTCTATAGGTGTAGTACATACAAATAAACACAAACCCTGTATCATGCAAAGATCTCCATCCGAGGAGATCATGATCAAAAAAGACGCTTCACACACACACACACACACACACACACACACACACACACCAGAGTTAGAAAGAGGGGATTGGAAACATCATGTCCAAGTGTTTTAATACTTTACAATGGAAAAATAAAAAAAGCGAATCTCAGAATATAAGGGTGACATTTTCCTTTAAATATCAGGAACGTAAACGACGCTGCCCGAAGCTGAGCAAGGTGCCAGCTTGGGGAAATTTTGGAACCCGCCTGCGAATAGAAAACGAAATGACATCGCGACTATGAAAAGAATGCCCGTCTTGTAACCTAATAGATAGAGGGAAATAAGTGTCAGCAACCACCAATTCTGGGAACTGGAGATGGGGAAATCAACATACAGCCCAAGCACCAGCGATGCTGGCCACAATTCCGCCAGATATCATCATAGGGCGTAGGCCTCGAGTGCTTTTGAACAGCATGCCACTCATAGCACCCGCCAATATACTATTTGCCGCATCATGCTTGCCTCTGAAATGCCCCAGAGTCGAATTAATCCCATTGTATACCATCGCAATCACACCTGCGGAGTTGCCCAGAAACGGGCCTCTTCGGGTAATCGAGTTGAGAACACCATTCAGTCGAAGTTTCGGCGGCGCTGTGACTGGGGTCTTCTTGAGTCCTTCAACCAGACCCCAGAGGCCCCCAAGTGACAGAGCCGTTAGATACGTAGTTCCCGTTCCGTAACTAAGGTCGTCTGACCATCCCCTTGACGGAAGTGCGGAACGAGAACCGGGAAGATCGTCGAGGGCAGAGTCTTCCAGGGAAAGGTAATCTAGCGTGTCTTGGTTCAAACCTGCGAGCGGGTGTAATAGCGATGGGTCTGGCATCGCGGGACCTGAGAGGAATGAGGAGGCATCTTGGGCAGAGCTAGGGTCGAAGTGGGTAGTTACGGAAGAATGTGAGGTCTTCCGACCAGAGAGGGTATCCCAAATAGACATGGCGTTGGATGATTATAGTAAAATATACAGGGAGGAAATATAGAAACGGAAAAACAAAGAAACCCGTGGGCGCCAGCTACGCTCCTAGCTCTGTTCTCGTTCCCTAGGAGCAATTTGCATTGATACAAAGGCGTTGAGTTCGGGTTCTCCGTTCTGTGTTGGTGTCTTCTTGAAATAGAAAAGTTCGATATAACTTAGTTATTAGTTTTGTAGGATTTTGGATTGGTAAGTTACGCTTTGGGCTCCAATAAATTTTTCGTCGGCGATCGGAAAAACATGAGCGGGTCACTAGACCGCTTCAGGAGATCCTCGGTGGCTTAGTCATTCATCAACATCTCGCCAAACTGCCAAAAAAAAAAAAAAAAAAAAAAAAAAAAAAAGAGAAAAGAAAAAGAGGATAACTAATGTTGTATGGACTGGCCACAATCAAAATGTACTGTCTGAGGCGGGGTTAGTTGAGTAGATTTTTTCCTCTTTAGTTTGGCGACTTCACTTATGGGCAAAATGGATTGCCAGGAGTCAGAACCTGGTGTCACTGCCCATGAACAACAACACACTCAGTTGCCTTCAGCGCTTCAGGAACTCATTGCCTCAGACTTGGAGATTATTCCTGGAAATGTGCTAAACAGGGTAACCAGGGGTCCGCTAAGGGACTTCATACTGCAAGCGGATCACCCTTTGTAAGCTAGCTGTGGATTCCCTCAACACTCTTGCCACATCGTTTGGATTAACGCCGGTGCAGATTGATGATTCCCCCTTGGAAATGTCTCTTCAGAACATTCTCCAGCGACAACTTACCGTCGTCCCATATGGTGGCTATCTGTAATGCAGTTAGTGCATTTCTTGACGCAACAACGCTCTCTGCCAATAAACTCATCCGCGAGTTTGCTCTCTCTGGCTCCCAGCCTCCATGGATCGCCGCCTTTGAAGTTCTTCTAGACCGTTATGAACGCAAGCCGAAACCAATGAGACAGGTCCTAACCTCGTTGATTAAAATCATTTTGGGGCATCGTGGTGAGGATTCAGTCATCCACTTAATTCGTTCAAGAATAGTCCAGTTGATATTACCCAACATTGTATCATGTGAACCCAGGTCAAGGCTCAAGGCATGTTTGGTTTCCTTAGAGTGGCTTATCCGAAAAGAAGCATTTCCTGTGCTTGATTTCATCCAGAAGATGAACACATGGATGCTAGATAACCCCATGGCTTGGATATCGCGACTGGACGGGCATTGCATCAAACTAGGAGTTCCTATGAGCTATTTTATTGATGTAGAAGCCAGAAAGAGTATTGGAGAAAACGAACTGCTCTTATACGGCACTCAAATTTTTACCATTTCTCTTCTTCTTAATTCCAATAACAGGGACTTGGCCCTTCCAGCTGGGACTTTATTTACTCTGTTGTGCCATACATTGGACATCGCTTCTAGGGATAACAGTTTCTTGTACATTAGTCCGAGGACCTCATGCCCTTTTTGGCAAGCCCCGCTCAGATACATCGCCTTGCAGAATATAGATGATTTAGACGCCGTATCGGATCATTTTCTATATCCTTTGTTTAAAGTTATGCCATCAGGATTTCAATCGTTCATTCGCACTCTACCATTCTACGACCTGCAAGCCGGCTCCAGTGAGGCCTCACCGGATGAACTTATTGTACTCTTTGCTGCGCTCCAAATAGCCAAAGAGCTCGGACTTGTACAAGAAGACAGTGAGTCGCAAGCCCCATTTGGCCTTTTTTTTTTTTTTAATTCGGAATTAACCAGATTTAGGATCTGAGATACATGTAACTTCATGCGAACCATATATCATGGATAGCAGTCGAATTGGCGACTTTCTAATACACCCTGAACCTGCGATACGCATCTCGGCTCTATCTCTGTTGATAACCGCCCCTTCTACTAGGAAACCATTCTCCTCGGTCACGCTCCAAGTATTGGCGAAAAATTTTCCCTACATGCACACAGACAGCGACCCACAATATAGGGGAGAAGTGTACAGCTTAATTCGGAAACTTATCATTAGATTATGCGGCGGCCTATCTGGTAGCCGCAAAACGGCTGGCTCTGAGGATGGTTCACATGCTGTCAACGATCATACCACGGAAGAAGATTCACAAAGAACGAAGCACGCTATTGCCGCTATATCTCATGTGCAATTTTTGCAGTGGTATGTGGATTTTCTCGAGCTAGAACTCCAACCAACAATGTCATACCAAAGACATATATCGGCTCTCAAAACGTTGGCATTGGTTCTGCAATCAGGTCTGGATAAGAGGATTGACCCCGTTTACCTTTCACGACTCGGCCAGGATCAGACTTTGTGGAACTGCAACATCGAAATATTTCGACCAAGTCTTTTCAGAGTCATTGGCGACTTGCTTATAAATCCATATGACGACGTCCGATCTTCAGCTCTGATTCTTCTAAATATGTTCCCCAGAACACATATCCAAACATGCCCTGCAAATGACGAGGAATGCTTCTTGGGCGGGAAATATTCTCATTCCCGTCGTCAACTAGTTAAAGCTTTGCAAAGGGCTGAGAATGTGGCGAGCCGCACAAGCAGAGCTGATCACGCTGATGCCGTAGCCCGTTTGTATCATATTTTATTCGACCTTGCTGATTTCAACAAATTCTTAGACACAGGGAAAACGTGGTATGAACATAAACAAGGTATTGTGGAAGCCCTCCTCACTACTTTAGAGAAACATCTATATTCAAACGATGGTTTGTTCCAAAACGCGATCCGGGAGACTTCTTTACATGGCTACATCTCCGCATTAAGGTATTCTTTCAACCAAAACACGCTTCTTGGAGAGTTTGGAAATCGGTAAAAAGTTTTGCTAATTGCCACGAGAAGGTATATTGTGTCAACTCCGAGATTCTATGCATGCTTCCCCTCAACGACAAGTGTGGTGGTCCCTTTTTGGAGAGAATGCCACGATCGGCTTATCTTGCTTTGTGAAAAGATCTGGCTTGGAGTCCAAACTATCCTCTGTATAGACTCTCCTGAAGGGCAAGATGAAGATGCAGCAGACGACCTTAAAGGTCCGAAGGATTTGTTGTCATGCTCTTGGCGTGCCTTGCGGGAATCAAGGTAACATCTGCAAATCTGTTTCCAAGCAAAAACTGTGCTAATAAGATCTGTACAGCATGCTCCTTCATGCCATATTACTCAATTCAACCTACGCGCCCGAATCTGATGGTACTGGACTCGTCCAAGCCGACTTTAATAAAATTGGAAGTCTAAGCTTTACGCAACTTGCGGAGTTGCGGCACAGAGGCGCTTTTTCTGCAGTGTCTCAGACTTTCACAGCTTGCTGCCAAAGATGTGGCCAGTCGAAGGATCTGGGAATTTCTAATCTGCTAGATATGTGGTACAAGGTAATTGAATATTCCGTCTCCATTGGAAATATATATTAACACTAGCAGGATGCATTGAAAATTATAGATCAGCAGGCGTCGAAATTGACTCGCCGATCCGCCGGACTCCCTGCTCTGATTACAGGGTTAGCCTCATCACAACCCGATAGCCCCCTCTTTCGTCAAATCATGCGTGACGTACAGGAAATTGCCAGCTTAGGCACACCCACTAGTGTTAGTGGGTCTGAATTGAAGCTGCCTCAGGTTCACGCCTTAAATTGTTTGAAGGATATCTTCACCAATACCAAACTTGGTCCGTCCACAGAATCATATGTGATGCCATGTCTAATGATATCAGCTGAATGTTTGGGTTCTAAAATGTGGGTAAAAAAATATAATAAAATAAAATAAAATCTTGATATCATTTTCAAGTTCAGCTAACACATGATAACAGATGGGCAATTCGCAACTGCGGACTGATGCTATTCAAAGCTTTAATAAATCGTATGTGTCGCTTCAAGGCAGGATACAGTGCGGGTCTAGGCGGAAGTTCCGGGTCAGAACTTGGAAGTAGGATCGTTTTCCAAAAATATCCTGGTCTAGTTGAGCTCCTAGCCCAGCTTCTTCAAGACCCCATTCCAAACGAAAAGCTGGATAATCCAAATGGCCAGTTCTGGGAAATTTCTATAACGACAGAGCGAGTGTTTCCTGCCTTGGAGCTAATTGGAGAGAAGGTGCCCTCTTTCTCAGGGGAGGAAGAAAAGCTTCTAAGAGACCTTGTCTGCGAGCAGTTTCGAAGCCCTGTATGGGGTATCCGGGAGCATTCAGCCAGAATATATGCGTCTCTGCTAAGACATGATGAGATACTGCCAACTGTTTGTGAGCTTTCAACTGTCCCTCATTCATCTGTCTCACAAAACCACATTCACGGAACGGTATTATGCATTAGATACTCCTTGCAAAGGCTCTGGGTTTCCTCAAGCCGATATTGGCTAGGTGAGCTCTGTCATTATTCTCTAATCGTATGGTCGCTTATTCTTTCCAGATGACTCCAGGACTGCTCTTCTTAGTGTCAAGAAAGTATGGCGAAATCTTATCGCCCACGCAAGATCTCCATTCGTTCTGGCTGCATTAGTTGATGTCCTTAACGATGTCTTGGAAGCTAGTATCCGCTGTGGACTAGAAGGTACATACCAATTCTGTTCTCTTGGGCCATTTTATTAAATTAACAAGAGGAATTGTAGGTCTTGTTGTACTCCAAATTAGTTCCCTACTCGAGGAACATGGTGTCTTCGATATGTTAGCCAACCTCCTTTCCCAAGCTAAGGCCGAAAATTTCATATCCAAGGGTTCATTTATACTCATTCGAGCGATTTCTATTTCTAAAACTACAATTTCGCTAGCGCAGAATTCGGCATTGGAAGGTTTATTGGGATTTTTAAATTCTCTATCGTCAATTGACGTTGACACAACCTGTTGGCTCCTAACTCACATGCACCACTGTTTTAGCTCACATGAGCGGACCAAAGTGCAGAGAATAACGCTCTACACTACTATGATCGAGGACTCGGTTCCCCGGAGAGTACAATCAGCTATAATGAGAAGTCTGGCAGACAGTTTGGAGTCACTTCTCGAAACGCATACGTACCTACCTGATGAGTTTTCCTTCCTTCGACAGTGGGCTAGATCTACCGATATTCCAGAAAATAGCAATTGCTGCAACATATGGAATCGCGATATGGTGAATGCTTCATTGCGACTGAAAGGAAGTTTATTTGCACTCCAAATGTTGTCATTCGACGATGCCGAAATTTACCCTGTGGTTGAAATGAAATTGAACAAATGGAATCAAAGCCTACGTTCTGCGATTGCAGACGAAACTGTGAGCTGCCTTTTTTTTTTTAAACACACCTTTGTCTGAACATGTCCTAATCCACCTCTAGGAATTCACAACCCGACATGCAGCAGTTCTTTCTATGAAAGCATTTGTTTTGGGGCTAAAAATAAGCGCCCGACATCGAAAACTTCACCAGTTTTTACTGGACACATATCTTGTTTTGTATGGAATGCTCAATGATGACGACGAAGACATCAGATATATTGCAACTCAGGCGGCAGGTGTCCTCTTTTCACTTGAACCAGAGAGGTCAACCCAAGCAACGGAACTGCTTCCCCTTGCGGCTAGTTTGCGATTGACTGAGGTGATTGCCGAAGATTATGTTGGCTCCACAGCGCTTTGCGTAGAAGCGTTGGGCCGATTTCTTGCATTGCCTATCAACATATCAGCAGTTGAAAACAACGGTATTACGGTACCGCCACCTGTTTCCAGGCTTCTTGCTAGTTTCCAGAAGGAGAGCACGGTTCTATTCCAAGAAGAAAAACAGAATTTGTTTATCGAAGATGTGCGAGAAGTTGAAATATGGTCCAAAGTCCTATCACGATTGATCCCAAGGCAAGAAGACACAGTTATTGCCATGCTTCTCTATTCTTGGGTTGCTGAAGGTCTTTCCACACTGATAGCGGCAACTAGAACAGCCGGTAGTGACTGTGTGCTAGGCTGGATATCGAATCCAGATGTCTTTACCTTGGGTGTCCGAGTCCTTCGGGGCGCAAAGATATTGCTGCTTGTCCCTTCATCTGGAGCCTTGCCATTGGACAAAGCGCTGATCTACAGAAGACTTGAGGATTTACTGGACCAAGGCCGCAAGGTGGGAATGCATCATTGTTGGATATCCCTCCTGAAGACAGCACTTGATCATCAGGGACCTTGTTAAATCTTTACGGCTATACTGTGTTATTGACAGGAGGTTTTGTTGATAACGCGTTTAGTCATCTAATTTCAATTAGTTAATTCTATTAAGTATTATTATTTTCATTTTAGAAATTGTCTGTGACATCCCCTTTGATTTGTCTGTTTTCATTCATCCACAACCCCTTGAACCGCGACCCGACGTCTCTTTGTTGCCTGGCAATATCTCACCATCGACTATTTGTTTTGATTTATAAATTTCCTGACTCAACCATCTCAAAGCAGGTTATAAAAATACACTTTTAACTTGAACTTTGGTATGTTTTTCCTGTCTGGAGTCTTTTTTCCAATCTTCTGTATATTGCTTGCTAATACACCCTGCAGCATGCATACCTAGCTATCTTTAATCCCCTTAAGACATCTGTCATTGATTTGTCTCCAGCACTCGATATTGCGCAACGATTGTTTGACACCTCGTACGGCATATTATTGCTTCATCCGCATGCCTATCATGCAAAGACTGCCTATTATTGTAATCTAGGCGCTCCTATAGTGAATATACCGAAACCTCTCTCTATAGCCACAAACTATTGCAGCCCTTAACTAATCACTCATCCCAAGGTAATTCTATTGCCTTCAAGCCATGCAGCTTAACCATGCTATTGTCCTCATCCTCATATTAATTCCCGTTTTCGCCTTCATCATATGGAGAGTCGGCCTCCACCTCTCCTCGGTATTTTACTTCAATATGGAAATGCACAAGGTGATGCGAGACACGCGACAGGTGGAGGAAGCAGTCGTTGCTCAGGAATCCCAGGTCGCCACTACACCATCGACCAATAATCCATCTCCTCCTAATCCAGCTCCACCGTCAGCTGTCAATGTAATACCCGGCAATAATGGACGACCGGCCAATGGACAGGTAGCAAATGGGAATCCAGCTAACGAGCAAACAGGGAATGGGAATGGGAATGGGAAACCGCAAACCAACCCGCAGCCGGGCAATGGACTCCCGGCAAGCGGGCACACAAGTGGAGGCCCTGCGACGGGCAATGGCTATAGCGGTTAGCACTAGTCAGAGGACTGGTTGTGGTTAAATGTTGCGTACTATTTTAATTTTTCCCCCCCCCGGAACATCATTGGGACGAGATGAGGATAAATATTTAATGTAGAAGGGAATTGGAGAAGACAACGCAAATAGGACTTATAAACACTCTTGCTTAGAATACAGCGAGCATGTTTGCTGCAAAGCTATTTAAATATCTATATTCAAATGGATGAATAAAATGATCATGCTGATGCATTTAGACTTCCTCCATTTGCCTTCAAGGAATCCACATACAGTCATTTTACAAACTTGAACTCTGCATCTTGAATATCGGGCTTTAATCCCGTTTGTCGAGAGGTCTCTTTCTTTTGCTTTGTATACATTGTTTTGCGTATTATGTGAAGCAGTAGCTGGTTTCTTTCTTTCAGGGGAAATTCCCAGTCCAAATACTTTCTTTATTCGTGTATCTCTTCCAAAAGCTCTATTTTTAAACGAAGTCATAATTCCCACTTTGTTTACTTGTAAATTTACGCTGGTGTTATTCCAATTACTTGTAAAAAGAATATATACAGTAGTTGTATATGTTTTTGTTCTTGCTTCTGGATGCATTTGCCCCTTTTTTTGCTTCAGGCGATCTGTGGCTTCCAATGTAGCGGGCAATGAGCCTTTGATATGAGATATGCCAATTGCAACCCTCGTCCAGTTAACTAACTGTATTAATATACAGATCTCTGTCTTCAATACTCCCAGTTAGTTACATTCAATTTTCAATTGGTTCTTCTTTTATATGCCGTCAATGCCAACATCACGTCCTCTTCCATAATCACTCAACCGCTCCAACCGCTCTTCGAGGTAGCCCAGCCAACAAACATCACCACAACCTTGGTTGCAGCAAACCCTCCATACCCCCTGGCTCTCCCAAGCCATGGCGACGCTGATTCCCATACCATCCACCACCCCAACTCCGGATACACAGCAGCAGCAGCAACTTCAACCCAATTCCCAAGGGGGCTGGTATTCCTGGACACCGGAGGAGCAAGGTGGTATTCTAGCTGCGTCGATACTCGTCTTTCTCTTTCTATTCGCACTGACGCTATTTGTGTCCCTTCACGCTCCAAAGAGAGTCCACCTGCCGCCACCAGACGAAGAGCGAGCAATGGGGGAGCCGGGCCAAAGGAGACGGACTGGGAAGGGTGGAAGGTTTGGGAGGAGAAGTGCCGGAATCTCACAGCCAGCCACTCAACTACAACAAAACCAAAGCATACTTTCACAGGCTGTGAAAGATAGCCGTAGTCACGAAACTACAAAAAATGGTCGAATCTCAGACTATCAAGGGCGAGTGGTGCCTGACGCACTCCTAATCGCAAGACGGGAATCAATGACAAGATCCCACCGCGAAAGCGGTCCAAAATTGAGAACTGCACAGCGCTCACGGTCATGTCAATGTAGACGAGATTTTGGTCTGTTGGAGGGGGGAACTGGACCCCGTGGTCAACAGCCACGCCAGACCGGAGGGATAGGGCACCGCAACAGTATGGATGCTTGTGATGGAAGTGATGAGACATTTGAGAGAGGGTTGGACAGGATTTATATTGACGACAATAACCCAGGACCATCAACACTGAAGGGAAAGGAGAAAGCGAAATTTCATAGACGTCAACAGAGCGATGGGTGTGCTCGGGAGGGAAAGCCTCGTCGTCACAAACGTTCATACAGTCTGAATTGAGCAGGACAGGGAAAGACGAGGACAGAAATTTTGTAGGGATCTCCCAATTTGACTGCACGGAGATGATGGAACATTTTTATGTATAACATGTATATACCGAATATCTCTTGTCTCATACATTTATATGTGGGAGCTATTGCTCCCTACCCCAAATTTGGGATCTTAATGATATAGAATGAAACATTGCTATAATCATTATTTGTAATAGGTGGATATTTGGATATCCCAGCTGCCACGAGGAAGCACGCTGCAATGTTTAGCGGTAGCCTGTCCTATAGTGACATATAGGCACCTCTGCCTCCCATGGGCAGTTTAATACAGCCCATCTGAAAAGGAACAAAGTCCTTTTCAGATGTCTCAACAGCAGGATAATAGTACTGCAAATATTTGAACGCCAGTAATTGGCATGAGGCGAAGTTGCGTGGAAAGCAAAGTGAAACATACAGATATGAGTATGTTGTTTGCCAGCAGGAATGTAAAACAAAAAAGCCTCTGGGCAGATAAAAACTTCAGATAGTTTGCTGAAAATAAATACAAGCAAACTTAGATATCATCACCATTGCTGACACTCCATGTTCTCATATAAGGATTCACTATATAGATAGAAAAATGCAGCGCCTGATACATTAAATGGTCCACACTTTTAGCACTTCTTCACACTCAGAGAAGAAAAGAAGAACATATTGAACTCATCCATAGGACATCCGACACAAAATACAAATGGCTGCAGTGTCCATTGAGGCCGTAAACGCATGGAGTATCACCATCACGGTTCTCGCCGTGTTTATGGGAGTTGCCATAGTACTCTTCTTCATGGGGCATTTAAGCACGCAGCACATAAATCTTCGCCACCATCAATACCATCCCAGCACTTTCTATACCCATACAGTCGAGCCCTACAGTGGAACCGAGGGACGGCATCCAGAGGACGTAGAGCTCCAAACACCAGGGTCTGCATATCAGCCGAACGGATCACGATCGGGAACACGGCTAGCACAAAGGGAAGGCGGACGAAGGGGCATAAGTTTGTTCCGAGCGTATCAAATCGAGGGAGATATGGAAGACAGAAGAACAAGATGGTAATCACTCGATCACAAAAAAAAAGAAAGAAAAAGAAAGAAGAGACAAAGGAAAAAAATAAAGGAAAAGGAAAAAAAGGAAAGAAAAGAAAAGAAAAAGAAAAGAAAAAGAAAAAGAAAAGAAAAGTTGGAAATTCATAGCGCAGGGAACACCCTGCATAGCCCAAACCAAGGAGGAATTCCCTCAGTGCCTCAACCAGAAGCATCGACAGCTATTGTCGGGCAAGATAAACACGGAAGAAAGGGGAATGTGTATCAAACATGTCCTCAGCCGGACGCATTGCAAGATAATAGGCCCCCGAATCAAGCAAGGGGCCTCTCGCCCGAAACCTACTATCGAAACCGCATCCAGCAATGACAGTATGAATTCTCTCATTTCCAGAACGAACCACACTGAGATTTGTTAATAATGGCCATATGCGTATATTTCATGACTCAGATACCCAAGAAGATATGGGTCAGCCCGAGACCCGAGTGATAGAGCATCGTCAAGAGCAACACCAGCAGCAGCAGCAGCAGCGCTGCAAGATCAGTCCTGGTAGGCTGTTGTTTCGAGTTTGATTTAATGCTCATATGCAGGTCAGAACAAACACAAACGAACATAAGGACTAGGGAATCCGAATATTATTCTGCGCCATCGGATGTCAGGATCGATCTCGTTTGGTCACACCGGAGGGAAGAAGCCGAACTTAGCGAAGGGTTGAGGCCAGAAAGATCCCCCTCCATGCGCGAATCCGAGGCCAGGAAGAACAATAGCTGGAGGGAATGTATGCGTGCATTGCCAAAACGATCTTTACCTAGATGACCTCAGGGTTTCCATATGAGGTGATCAACAGTTAACTACTTGATGGAGTGAGACATTTAATTGTGCAGCCAATTTAGCAGACCGGGCACCAGGCAATATCCATCCATGTTAGATGATACCTTGATAGTAGTGGGATTGCAGCGAGCGTTGCATTCTTCAGATTCGGGATTTGGAGATGATAGATGTTAGTTAATAATTAATTCATATTATTTTTCATTGTATGGAAGAGTGTTGGGAGTTTGCAAAGAAAATCGAAGGGGATGAATAGTTGGCCTGTTCGGGATGTTTAAATATGGTGACGTTGTCCGTGTAGCCAAGCTCAGATCAATCAAGTTGAGTGGTTTGTCCTGTCATTAACCAACCACAACTTCACACTCTCACATCAACTATCCGCTACCGCTAACGTGAACACAGCCATATACATACACATACACATACACATACACATACACATCCCGTGTCCCGATCTTTCTTCTATTCCGTCACCGTCTGTGTGCAATCCAACCGTTCATACTCACTGGGCCTGTTCTCCCCGCCGGAGTCTCTTCTCGGCCTCCCCGGGCAGCATGTGGAACGACGAAGACAACAACCCCTACGGGTCCTTTGATCGCCACTCGGAAGCCGTTAATGATCATTTCCATGGCTCACCTGGATCTACCAGTGAGATATGGCTTCATATCCCCCGTCCTTGTATATCGCTCCAACTAACCCAATCCATCCTTCAGCCTTCGACCCCCCCTCTACCCCTCAGTCTTCAGCCTCAACTTTAGATCCCCCCCCAGATTATGTATCGCGGTTAGATAGCCCTAGCCCTGATGTTGCAGACTCAGACGAGGGGAGGAGATATGCGCATTCCGAACAGAATCAAGGATACCCTCGAAACAAAGGGGTCTATCAAAGCCGAATAGAGCAGATACTCTACGAGAATCCAGAGCTTCCAATTCTCATTACGGATGCGGGTAAAAACCACGAGAGCGGAGGCAGCTTCATTGTGTATACTATACGGACAGGGGTATGTGCGCCTAGAAGGGGAAAAGATGGTGCTGCTATCTTATGTCATTGCTTGCCTTAAAGGCTGACTTTCCTACAGGATCTGGAAGTTCGACGTCGATACTCTGAATTTAGTTCCCTCCGCGCCACCCTCATTAATCTTCATCCTACCCTCATCATACCTCCAATTCCCGAGAAACACACAATGGCAGATTATGCGGCGAAACCCACCAAGGCTAAGGAGGATACCTCCATCATTGATTTGCGAAAACGCATGTTGGCTGTCTTCCTTAACAGATGTCGGAGGATGAAGGAGATTCGGGAGGATGGGGTGTGGTGGAGGTTTCTGGATCCAAATGCAAGTTGGGTTAGTGAGCTCATCAAAACATCAAGTCAGATTATATCCTGTGGACCATGGTACCTAACTCCCTGCAGAACGAAGTGCTTCATTCGCACCCCGCCTCCTCTGTTCCCAAGAACAATCTAAAAGCGCCTCCGCTTGACCCAGCAAACCCGCAACCTGCGCATGCCTGGCTTCCAATTCCGTCGTCTTCTGCCAAATTGAAGTTTTCTGCCGCCATGTCTCCACCTTCTTTAGATAATGCTACGTCTTCAGGTCCAGGAAACGGGTCCTTCCTAAGCCGATTCCCTCCAACATCCCGCAATCTAAGTGAAGAAGATCTAGATCCATACTTTGTGAATTTTGAGGTGTCAACCCGTGAGCTTGAACTGCTCTTGCAAGGAAATATTGAAAAGGTCAACCGGCGCACCTTGACGCATCTTTCGTCACTTTCGGCTGATCTAATGGAGCTTGGGGCTCGATACAATGGATTCTCACTCTCCGAGCCTTCCGCAACTGTTGCTGCTGCTATCGAACGAATTGGTCAGGCTGCGGACACCTCTTATATTGAGACGGAGGAACTATCTGCAACCCTTGGCGCGACATTTGCGGAACCAATGAGGGAGAGCGCACAATTTGCCGGCGTCGTCCGTAACGTTTTGCGCTACCGGATCTTGAAACGAATCCAACAAGAAATGACGCGGGACGAGCTCAGTAAGAAAAGAGCATTACTGGACTCTCTAGAACGAAGCGAGCTGGAGGCCAAACGGATCGAGCAGTATCTTAACCGCACAGGTAGCAGCACTACACCCGCAACATTTAAAAGATCATTATCGGACTCCTCTGCACCCAGCACCCCTGAATCGGGACCTGCTGAAGGAGCTCGAGCGAGTCCAGCAGAAGATACCGCCTCCATCGACTCAGATTTCCCATCAGGGGGAGGAGACTCTCCACAGCCATCTGCATCGCAGGGCCTGCCTCAGAGGACAGCGGAACCTCCCACAGCAACACCGCCAAGTCACCGTAAAACCTCGAGCGGCAACTTCGTGACAAATAAGATATTTGGTCGAATTAGCCATGCGGTACATGGGTTTGTTGATGTTGACCCGGAGAGGACACGGCGAGATCAGATTGGGAAGACAAAGGAGATCTTATTGCAGGTTGGTTTTTGATACGCCTTACCTCTCTCCCTCCAAACCGTAATTATCATTGTTTATCAATAAGTGGACGGAAGGAATCCTAATTCGGCTGACCACTCTTATTATCTGCAGTTGGAGCAAGCACTCGAAGTATCCGAGAAAGACGTGAAGGATGCCAGTTCCGGGGTCTTGCAAGATCTGAAGCGATTCCAGAAGGAAAAGGAAAACGATCTGCGGCGGTACATGGTATGTAGCCCTCAAACCATCCCCCCCCCCTTCCCCCTTCTTCTTCTCTCATTCCCCCCTTTATATCTTTGATTGATTCATCAAATTTTCTTTATGGCTTTTCGTTCCACTGCTTATTTTTTTTATTTCTTAAATTATTTTGGCGCCGCCGCCATTCAGGTATCATATGCCCGCTGCCACCTTGACTGGGCGCGCAAGAACCTTGAGACATGGACTGAGGCGAGGGAAGAAGTGGACAAGATAGTAATCCACTGAATAATGATTCCTCCTCCTTCCCCCGAACCATATATATATTAATTTGATTCAAAGTCTGAATGACTGGGAATTCATTAAAGGCATGAAAAATGAATGACATTGTAGCTTTGCATTGAAAATCTTTCTTTTGTTTAACTATTTGTTTATCTTTATCTTTATTTTTTATCTTTTTTCCATTCTATTTTGAGCTTCGTCTTTGTATGTGGCAAAAATAATCATGGTGGTGGGGGTTCCCTTCCATCTCTACTTGTTAATTGACTGTATCTAATACCACTTGGTATAGTTTAGAAAGTGACCTGGCCTCACTTAGAGTTTATTAATGTTTGCTTTATTCATAAAAAGGTAAGATTCCTTGGGAGTTAGAATAGGATGTCTGTAAACCTTTGACGGTTTCTTTACCATCAACCATACCCCTGCCGGAGTTTGTACGGGATTGTGGAGAGAAGCAAGGATTCTATTTAAAGTTGGTAGTGCCAGGGAGTACAAAAGGGAAGAGAGGACAGTTACCATCACGACCCTAATTAAATGTATATAATACTGTCTATTCGGAGTGTTTTTACGTATTGGACAGTAGATACGGATGTTTCCAGTGATAGATAGTTTAACCAACTTAACAAAGCTGTGTACTCAAGACACGCTTCCTCCATTTATTTTGTATGAGCATCTCTTCCAATGATCAACAGAAGAGAATACCTACCTGGGTAGAGAGATCATACTCCTCAGTCAGCACAAGCAAGAAGATTGCCTGATCATCTCAGGCCTGACTACCGAGCGTGACCTTAATCAACAGACGGTTAGTTACATTCCTCAGCACGCACTGTCTGTAGTAATATCATCTAGTTACCATTTTTCTACTGCATTTTTACCTAAACTTACCACACACACACCGGTGTGTTTCGTCACCCCCCGCCCAACTTTTCCCATCCAACCACACCACCAAAAAAAAACTTCTCCCGCTGGAACTAGTTAACCAACCGCCCACCAAACCACCCGACCTATATACCGCTCCATACTCTTACCGGCCTTTCCACCCCTTAACAAACCACCAACACTTTCGTCTCTTTTTAATATGCCAAAATCTATGCCTCGCCCAACCTGGTCTTCGCCTTGTTAAGACCCACCTCTGGACCTCTGGCGCCCTTTACTCCCATATCCCCATCCTCTCCCTCCCGCGCCCTTCTTCCCTCTCTCCCTCTCTCCCCTTCTCCTGGACGTACATACATCCTTGTGCTCTAAACAACCCCACCGCTCCCCTCTTGCACCATAGAGCTGCCACAGCCCGTGGTCAGCTCACTTTCACCACGCCTTCTTCAAAGAGACGCAAGGTTGCAGAGTGCAAAGTTGGAGCCCGTGGCCGCCCTTCCCGTTCTTCCCCCCAAACGAACAATTTTTCCAGCCCTCGTTCCTCCACCAGGCTACGGCGGCGTACCAGTAACAGCCATCTTAGCGGATCTGCCTCTGCCTTGCCTACAACAGCAACCATAGCAACCACAGCGCCCACAGCATCGTCGCCAACGTCACCATCAACGTCGATATCGGCATTGACATCGATACCGTTCACTACAAGTCCCATTTCCTCAACTGACGCAAGCAACGCCTCTACCACGCTCCCTTCCGCCACAACTGCTTCGTCTGGTCCAGCATACATCCCTGCCCACATACAACGCGAACTCCGTCGAAAAAAACATTGCACAAGGACTCCGAAAAAGGTTCGATCTGCCACCCCAGGCTCTCCAGATACCGCTGCCAGCTCTCCCAGTGCTGCCTACGCCGAACTCAGCTTGAATACAGAGCCCTCAGCTGCTGCTGCTTCTGCTCCTGCTGCTGTCATGGCCGCATCTGAAGGCATGTCGGGCTCGTCTCCTCATCCTCATGGAGCGGATGATGTCTCTGAGAATGGTCGACAAGAATTGCAGTCAGCCCCCGCTGTAAAGCGGCCTGCTGCTGAAATGGGTGAGGACGACCGCCAACCTCAAGATGTCGAAATGGGGGCCGCTCCGTCTGGTGGCAACGAGGAGAAGGAAGTCTTGTCATCCTACAACCCTGTTTCCAAGAGCAAGAAGCAGACGGATCGACCCTCGAGGCATCGTAGAGCTGTATCTGTGGATATGGATGGGCAGGATGATAATTCCATGGAGGTAAAGCATGAGAACCCAAAGTCTGCTTCTTCCGAAGACACAGTTAGCTCGTCTTCGGATAGCGTCTATCCCACACCATCCAGCATGTCGACATATACCTCATCCACACGTGAAGATTACAAACCATCCCATACTCAGCCTCGCGCCAGTCATGACATGCCGTCAATCGACGACCAGGTCGCCATTGTAACCAAACTGCTGCTGCAACCGCTGAAGGAGAACCAGAAGGGATATGTGGTTTCTGCGAACTGGCTCGGACGTGTCCTTTCGAGGAGTTCCAAAGGAGGCTTGCCACGGGAGAAAGTCGATAAAACTGCTTCAGAAGGAGAAATTGGTCCTGTCGACAACTCAGATCTTGTTTTGGTTACGGATCCTTCCCTCTCTTACAAAGATGAGGCTGGCGAGCTATTCGTTCCCCTACGACCTGGCTTGCAGATCGGAGAGGACTTCGAAGTGCTACCAGAAGACGCCTGGGAAATGATCATGAAATGGTACGGCCTCTCGAGAGACTCTCCTGCCATTGTTCGATTCGCTCATGACACCGCCACGGGAACTACGGAAAATGTCCAGTACGAGCTCAACCCTCCAATTTTTACCATTTTAAAATTACCAAACCCTTCCCAATCCCAGGCTCAGATCGCCCAGGACAAAGCTCGTGCTCCTGTAAAAACTCTGGCTAGCAGACACACACCGTTTCAGCAGTGGTTACGGAACGTGAAAAGCTTGGCATCTATCGAAATGTCTACAAAAGTCCGTGTCTGGAGAATTCTCGAAGGGCTGAACAGCACCGCAACGTCTGGTATCATCACCCCTGCGGCATCCAGAAGCACCTCCCCTGCCCCTGGCGCCACATTGACCGCCAACGCTGGCAACAGCCTTGTGCTGGACGTGAACAAATTCGTTGCTCTTGTCGAAGGCTCTCAACGTGAACTACTTGAAATGAAGGACCAAACAGCCAATCCAAAATATAACGGCAGCCTTACATTGCACCTTGCCGGCCTGGGAGGCGACGATGTCATTGTGCTAGAAGAACAAGTTGGTGGTCCTGGTGGCGGAGAGTGGGTTGCTGATTGCGCTGGCAAAAACACAAATCATCTTTCTGTTTCTGCAATCAAGGCCGGCTCCCAAAACAAGGCTAAGGCCAAAGCTCCCGCTACCAGCGGTCGAGCCTCATCACCCGCTGTTGGGCCCGTTACTAGGGGACGGCAGCGTAAAGACGGCCGCTCTCGTGGCGTCACTGGCTTGAGCAATCTTGGAAATAGTTGCTATATGAACTCCGCCTTACAGTGTGTTCGGAGTGTAGAAGAATTGACTCAATATTTCCTCCGTAAGTACTGTACCGCCTTCGAAAATTACTATATTTATATATGTATATTTTTTTTTCTTTCTCTAATCTAATTGGTTTTCCCTTTTCATAATAGAGGATGAATACAGGAAGGACCTTAATCCAGGCAATCCACTTTCTCATGATGGGAATGTTGCTAAGGCTTATGCAAATCTGTTGCATCAGTTGTTTGATGAAAATGGAACCTCCTCTTTTGCTCCCCGTCAATTTAAGCAAACGATCGGAAGATATGGTCCTTCGTTCTCTGGGTATGGCCAGCAAGATTCTCAAGAGTTTGTGCTTTTCCTTCTGGACGGGTTGCAGGAGGATTTGAATAGGATTCAAAAGAAGCCGTATATCGAAAAACCAGATTCTACTGATGATATGGTTAACGACAATGCTGCACTGCAACGATTTGCTAGGAAATGCTGGGATATCTATAAGGCACGAAATGACTCGGTAATTACTGACCTTTTCGCAGGAATGTACAAGTCCACTGTGGTCTGTCCCGTTTGTGACAAAGTTAGCATAATTTTCGATCCATTTAGCAATCTCACCTTGCAACTCCCGATTGAAAACCTTTGGAGCAAAGAATTGTTTTTCTTCCCTCTTTATTCCCGCCCCGTTCGATTGGATGTTGACATCGACAAAAACTCCAGTGTCAAGGCTTTGAAAGAATATGTGGGGGAAAAAGTTAACGTCGATACCAACAGACTTGTTATGGCTGAGATCTACAAGCAAAAGTTCTATAAGATGTTTGATAATACGTCAAGCATTGCCGATTGTCAGATTAGTGCATCGGATGATATCGGTATATTCGAAGTTGAATCCGTACCAACTAGTTACGACCCAGATAAACCCCCCAAACGATCTTCCTACTCCAGCCTTGTCTTCACCAGTAGCTCCGCTGACCAAGATATTCCACCTTTTGACTCCCCAAAATGCGACAGGATGCTAATCCCCGTTTTCCACCGTACCATCAAATCTCAAGGCGCTAGAATTTCACGGCAACTATTCGGTGCTCCTTCATATATTGTGGTTAACCGCGAAGAGGCATATGATTATGATAGCATACTGCGTAAAGTTCTGCGAAACTCGGCAAATCTAACAAGTCGAGATTTTCTCCGTGAAGATGATGGAGATGCTGTCATGAGCTCTAGTCCAGCTGAGGATTCCGATACTGTCGTTACCAATGACGATGACTTTGACTCCTCCGATCCCAAGATAAAGGTATCTTCCGTTGACGGGGAGGACGGTCTAGTTGATGTATCGATGCGGGATGCTTCCGATCCATCAAGTCAAATTAAATCGAAAGCCAGAAATAATCCTGTTACTATTCCGAAAGTTCTTCGGCCTGGTAGCTTCATCCCGCCTAATCTTCGCAAATTATTCGAGATGAAAATCATGCGATCTACTGATGCTGTGCCCACCGGATTTTCCTCCGTTGACGAAATCAAAGACTTCACTTCGATGGCCTCCAGACTGCCCAGGAAGCAGAACAAACGTGTCCATGCAAAGAAGAAGTTCGCCAGCCGTGGAAACAGCCCTATTAGTAGCGAGGACGAACTCAGCGGTCCTGCTCGCCGTGTTAATAGCGCTCACTCGAAAGATGGTCATGACTTATACGACTCTGGCTCTCAGGAGACCAAGGACGATAGCTGCACAGAGAGTGGCACAGACTCTTATCCACACAATGCGACTCTCCTACACAAGTTTGGACGTGAGAAGCCGAAGACATCTGCAGTCCGTAACGGACCACAGAGACCCATTCCCCTGATACGTGCCGGAGAGGGTATTATTCTGGAGTGGAATGAACACGCATTCGACGCTCTCTTCGCAGGTGATCCGCGTGAAGAGGACTCCCTGCGAGGATCCCCAACATGGATGAATATCGATTGTGTTCCCGACCCGGAACTAGCTGAGAAACGGCAATTGCGTCAATCCCGGAAAAAGCGCGGGGTTAGTCTGGATGAGTGTTTGGATGAATTCGGCAAGGAGGAGATTCTCTCCGAGAATGACGCCTGGTACTGTCCCCGTTGCAAGGAGCACCGTCGCGCGTCGAAGAAATTTGAGCTGTGGAAGTGTCCAGATATATTGGTGATGCATCTGAAACGTTTTAGCGCCAATAGAGGGTTCCGGGATAAGATTGACGCACTTGTTGATTTCCCGCATGAGTTGGATATGACTGGCCGGGTGCAGATGCCTGAGGAGGGCAAGAGCCTGCAGTATGAGTTGATCGCTGTCGATAATCACTACGGCGGCCTTGGTGGTGGGCATTATACTGCGTTCGCTAAGAACTTTTTTGATGGGTGTTGGTATGAATACAATGGTAAGGATTTTCAACAGCTTTGACTTTTTTCTTTCTTTATATTTGCCCACTCCGACACCTGCTAACACCGATCCTAGACTCCCACGTTTCGAAAAAAACAAACCCTTCTGCAGTGGTTACCTCTGCCGCATACCTTCTATTCTATCGCCGTCGTTCTGACGTCCCTTTAGGCGGAGAATATCTCGCCAGCGTCACCAGAACGGCGAACAACCAAGACCAAGCCGACTCTGATTCACAGACCGACTCCCGACAGCCGTCCCCTTCGGGGGAAGGCCAGCGCCTCGGTGGCTCCTCCCGCAGTGGGTCGTCGAGCGCATTAACCGGAGCCGCAGCAATTCACCAAGCGGGAGATGGTGGTTTGCGGGGCGGAATCCAAGCGAGGGATGATGACGACGTCCCAGAATACTTCGAGCATGGCCTAGATGGCATCAGCCGGAACCATCTAGAAGACATGGATCTGGAAGATGAAGGGTTCGACGCAAGCTTTGGCCCAGAGCTGAATTTCTCCAACCACCCAATATGGTCATTTGACCGTGCAGAGGTACCGTATGGACCGTCAGGTCTCGTTTCCGCGCCCGCCAACTCCTTCTACGACGGCGACGGTGATGAGGATCTAGATGACGATGTTAGCAACAAGGCCGTTGGCGGCGGCGACATGAGCGATTCGGAATCACGGCTAGCGATGCTGAATGACTCTGATGAACCGGGGATGGTCTTTGACGATCTAGATCCGACTACGGTACCGAATATTACGCATTAGCCTTCACTGAGAATTGACGGGGATATGTCCGTCATTGAGTTGTGGGTGTCTGATGAAGAGTAACCAACTGCCGTTCCATAGATCGGAAATGCTGTTGTGGCAGGCAACTAAATTAGATGAACTCAGTTGCAATGCGTTAAGTTTTCATTGATTGATTGATGATTGTTTTTTGCTTCAGGTTGGAATGGAATGTAATCATACGTGTATCACGGGGGTATTTGGGGTGGGTTGGAAGGGGGAAGAGGGGGCGGGACTTGAAAAAGTTCACGTTTTTCGTCAGGGCTTTCGTTCCCTGTGTTGTATTTAATCATTTCGTCTTCAAGTTCCCCCTTTTTTTTTTTTTTTTTTTTTTTTTTTTTTTTCTCCCTTCTTCCTTTCTTTAACCATGGTCCCCTCGGCTCTGTTTTTTTCTTCTTTGCACATTTTTGACGCGAATCATGAGATGCAACAGGAGGGACAAAGTAGAAATATATATTTCAATGACGGCTGAGATTTAACTTCATTGCCTCGTGTCACTTGCTACCTTGGGCATTCCTTTACCTTCTTCCCCTTCTTCCTCTTCCTTTTCTTTTCCTCGTACACACAGATCTTCGTCCAAATCTCTTCATTTTCTCGGACTTTTATTTCCCCAAAATCCAAAGTCCTAGCAATCCCGCGTGGTTAGCACGCGCATTTTCTTTTTTCTGCGCTTGTTCAGATGGCTTTCCGTTTTATATCATACTGGCGTTAGGGCATAACTTATACAGGGTTGTTTCTGCCCACGTTCTTTTTATCCCTTTCCCTCTCGGTTCCGTTCCTCTCTTTCCCTTTCTGTTGTCGTGCAACTGTGACAATGTTCAGGGCTGATCAGCATTTTTCGTTCCAGGTTCATGCAACGGGTAATTGTTGCTTCCCACCAGTCCAACTTGAATCATTCCTCTTTATCATATTTCCCCTTCTACCAACCCGCGCAATATACATAGTTTACTTCCTGGAGTCATGTTTTTTTTTTTTTTTTTTTTTTTTTTTTTTTTTTTTTTACATATCAGTTGCATCCAGGTCTTGCCATTTTTTCCCCATTTTTCTTCCTTCCAGCTTCTCCTCTACAGGAGATCAGCGAGGCATTGTCTGGTTTAGATTACAACAAAGGGTGATTCTAGCATTGTTTACACATATACATACCTGCAGGAATTGGGAATTGAAAAAACTCACTGCCCAAAGGGAATTAGTTTATAAAAAGAACCTGAAATCCCCATGTTGCAGCTACCCAGCTAAGTCATCTACTTTCCTGTCCTCCGACATCCGGCCGTGTACGTCAGGTGACCTCCAAGTAACTAATGTGAGATTGGTTGAATCTCTCATATTGGGAGGCCTAACTAGCTATCTAATATATGCTATATCACATACGGTGGAGCGGCAGCCCAGGCCAACCATACGCCCAACAAAAACTAATTTATTGACTGACTAGTTAGCCCGCAACCACCTCACGGGATGTTCGCATATTTATCAGTTAGCGGGCCAGCCCTCCCTAAGGAAGGACCAACCAAACACACAATACATAACTGTATGGATAGCCTTTTTTTTTTTTTTTTTTTTTTTTTGGGGGGGGGGGGGGGGGGGGGGAAGAAAGGGGAAATGACCGAACGAAGAGACACACGCATCCGTAATTAAACCATCATTATTCATCAGCCACAGTAGGAGCGTCATTGGAGGATCAGCAGTGAAATCCCCCTCAGCCGCGGATTATCGGGATCAGGGATGTATAGACGCTGAGCATGTTCAGCTCCCTCTGCCAGGGTCTATGGATGCAGCCATTTATCCGTTCTTGTGGCTATGCGGTTGTGGGGTAGTTAATTAGTAGTGGGTGTCATCGGGCAGGCAGTGACCTGATAACTATGGGTTCGAAGTGGTTGTCATATAAAGGGGGGCCCCAATGCGCCGGCAGCCTTTTTCAGCTGTTTCAATCTTCCGCGGGTAGACACGTTTCCTTCCTTTGACTGCCTCGAACATCAAGCATCAAGCTTCGTTCTCCAATGGTAGAAGCTCTACAAGACCATGTGAACTTCAACATGCCCACTCTCGAAATAAATGTGCCTGACGAATGCCACCTGAACCGCACGGCCGAAAGGGCCGTTCTCACTGTGAGTGTATCGGCAGAGAGTCCAAAACAAGAAGAAGCGGCACAGAATGCCACCAACACAGTAAATAGCCTGCACCAGCTGTTTCGCGAGTTATCTCCAAAGACGGAGAGCAGGGGTGCCACCCCTGAAGCAGCCGTTACTCTATTTACTATAGGATCAATCTCCTCCTCGTCGGCGATCCCACTAGACGACAAAGGCAAACCCGCCGGCCCACGCAAATTTTTTCAGCCTATGCCAATATCTCCGCGATTTTCCGCGACTTCGTTATGCTCAGCATAGTCACCAGCCAGCTTTTTCATGATGCCATTTGTAGAAGTGGAGAGGATCGACTGGCGATTGACGGAGGAGACGACCCGGGTCCTTGCTAAGGAAGCCCAAAAGAAGGCCCTCTTGGATGCAATTGAGAAGGCTGCTGTTTACGCAGAGGTGGCTGGCCGACAAGTTTTTTCTGGTGGAAATTAACGACGAGGGAGGGTATTCTTCTACTGGCAGGACGAAGCAGACAAATACACGTAATTTGACGATAGGTGGTCAGGGAGGAGGAGGAGGAGGAGGAGGCACGGGCAGCATTGATTTGGAGCCGCAGGAGATTGTTCTATCCTCTTCGATCAAGACGATATTCGCCACGACAGAATGGAAAAAGCCAATTTCCCTCTCCCTCTACTGATATATGGTGGATCTCGCACGTAGAATCCAGGTGACTAATCGAAGGAACATTACGATGTTAACACCTAACACCGACCTTTCCGAAATGCTGTCCTTGCCTCTAGCTGCAGAAGGTCTCAGACGCCTTCTCTGCGGTCCCACAGCCCAAACAAATCCTTTGGACACGCACGCGCTTGGTCTCCCCTTCTTCATCATCATCATCATCATCATCATCATCATCATCTTCATCGTGACTCAGGCCTGCCAAAAAGACGTGGGAGCCGTCGGTGTTTCTACGTTTCTATGTTTATTATATACATTGTGGCGGGCCATTTCTTGCTCAGATGCTTCGCCGCCATGCATGTTCTCTATGCAGTTTTACGTTGGTCGATGCTGGTTTCTGTTGCTTCACCTTCATTTTTAGATGCTATATACTTATGAGCTTCATATTCAGGATAAATATTTTCTCTCCCAATTCCTTTATGTTTTAACTTACCTATTTCCCGCAATGGGGAAATGGGTTAACTTTCGACCCGATTGGACTCACCGTTCAAACACAGAAGGGGACAAGCTACAACAGAGGCCCGCTTGGGAGCAGCATATCTCACATATTTATGGTGCAGACATGACTCGACGAGAACGGGAGGATGCGTTGATAAGTGCATCATTTACGGACATTACGAGGGCTGTAGACACGCGAAGCACAGGATATTCGATTCCACATGAAGGTTCTGCACTCCCCGATGCAGAACGAAGAAATTTAGATCTCAGAGGACAGGGGGCAGTCATGTCACAATCTCCTGCACTTACCGCACAACCGCCTCCAGGACACGGAGACACAAGCCCATTGACAAGTGGGCTAACCACTAGTTTCCATCCCCAGTCTTCCATGCAGTTAATCTCGCGACAGGCCCAGATTACCGCTCAGGGTCTTGAAGCTTCCTTTGCAGTCTTACGTAGTGATGAAGGGAGTCAACACGGCGAAAGACACCACCCCAGATATGTACATCCTCCGTTCGCTGCCCCAGCGTGGAACGCACAACCCAACGTAGGTGTTCTAGCATTCGAAACTGCTACCAGTAATGTCTTCCCTAGCGCCGCAGAGTCGAATATTTCGCACCTGAGTGGAGACGAGATGGAAGTATGCAAGGCTGCAACCCCTGAGAAGCTGGGACATGCATCAACTGCCAACGTAGCCGACGGAGCTAAAACGCCTCTGAAGAGACATGCAGATTTAATCCCAGCAGATGCACCCAATCCCAAACGATTGTCGGGAGGGGGCCCAATTCTTACCCAGGGCCGCTCCAGGAGAGTCAAAATTCGCGGCTCTTCTGATAGACTCGAACCTCATCCAAGGCTTTCTAGTGGGGAGGTGTTTGCAAGCGACAATGAACACGCCATCGCTGATTGCTCATCCACCTTTGGAACCGATAACTATGAATTGTCAGATGATGGCCGGCGCCTACTGGAAGAGAGCGACAAGGGGTATAACGCTGGGTCAAGTTCTGTACGTTATTCGCAGCTCGAAAGATATATTCTTCTATGATGTGAAAACTAACACATAACTACCTTCGCTCCAGCCCCCATCTGACCTCGAAGAAGTACCAAGAGTGGAAACAAGCACAGGGAAAGGCTGGGATACTTCTGGAGGTGATGCACTTCACAAGCACGGATACATGTTACGACCACGCAAGCGGTAGTTCGCATTGCCGGTAGTTAGGTGCCTCTAGATGCGCTGTGCGGTGCGTACAATCCTATATCGAGACGGCTGGCCGTTGGGATAGGTGGAAAGTATTTTTAAAACACGAACCGTTTACTTGCCCCTACTATCATTTGTGGTGATGCGGTTGCTCATTCTTGATTCTCGCTGACTCTGTTATGTTTGATGTCTGGCATTCGTTACAAACTCTTCTTCGCTGCTTTTCGTTTTTTCTGCCTAACTACACAGAAGTGTCATCAATGTCTAAAAAATAGACATTCTTCGGTCAAACTCGAATCGGTTGTTAGTATGGGATAGGGAACAATTACGGGAATCACTATAGAACGTTTTCTTTTTCTCTTCTCTTCTCTCTTCTTTTTTTTTTTTTTTTTTTTTTCTTTCTCGTTTCTCAGAAGAGTAACTACCATAGACCCATACAATTCGACAGATATGATACCGGAACAGACAGCGAGTTGTATACGTGGTATGAAATATATGGGAGACCTGTTTCACCAGCGAAGGGGAAGCACCCGCATAGTCAATGGAATGAACAGGAGAATGAACAGACTTTGGGAGGGCTCTTCAGCTTCGCGGATGTGCGGCATCAGATTATCCTGATGCCATCTTCTATTGTTATGTCTTCTCTACTCTATTGTAATTAAAACGAATAATCATTCATGAGTTACAATATCCCTATGGCCAAGACCACGAAATCATTTAGTTACCGCCAGCAACTGCAGCACTCAGCTCTTTTAATCGCCTCCAACCCTCAGTTTCTTCCCAAAACTCCTTCCCCTTGCCCTGCACGCTCCGCACCGCACTACGGGATTTAAATCTCCAATCTTTCGCGACCAACTCTGCTCCACAACTCCCATTCGCTTTCCCTCCCTCCTCCAGAACTGCGGTCCCTTCTTTCTCCTTATCCATAGGCCCAAAGACAGCATAGCCCTCATGGACAACTCGTTCAGTCGCCTCCACCACCTCCACCCATTTCTTCTCATAGCCCAACTGGAACGCCCCCTGCGTGCATGATGCGACAGTAGCACGCCACGCCTTCTCATGCGCCGCCAGCGCGCGTGACGGTCTATTCCGCCACGCCTCTACCTTGGCAACGAGCAGCCATAGTTGTGCTGAGTGTGTAATGAGCGGGACGACGTCTTCGTCGAGGAGTTTGAGGATTAGGGCCGGGATCGTGCCCCAGCGGAAGACTGTTGCGGGCGGGGGCGGGGGCGGGGGCGGGGGCGGGGGCGGGGGCGTAGGTATGAATTTCGACACGCCATGGTTGGAGTTACTAACTTCATGATCCGCTATAAGGGTGTCGACGAGCATGGTGAGGATGTTGATGTCGACCGCTTTTTCACCCTTCTTGGGACCGCAGAGTTCAATGACGCGTTTCTGAGCGTAGATGATGTCGCGAAAGGGGGTGTCCGGGGGCGGAATGGATGCGCTGACTGTCAGCAGGTTGTCCCAGATGCGGTGGTCGTTGTGTTTGTATTTGGCGGCTCGTTTCAGGGCGACAAGGGCTTCGCGTTTATGCTTGTGTAGGTCAGGCTTTTGTGGAACGGGAGTGGATTCCTCTCCACAAACATCTATTGTATTCTGATCGGCAATTGTGACTGGTTCGGTGGTGGTGGTGGTGGTGGTGGTGGTTGGTGGAGGAAGATTGATTAGTGCTGCAGCAAGGTTGCTCCAGGCCTCAGCATCTGTTTCCTCCAACTGCACACTTCGAGTGAACGATTCCACAGCATCCTCGTATTTCTCCAACTCAAGCCGCACGCACCCAAGCGCAAACCAGGCACTATGGTTGAGACGGTTGATAGCCAAGCTCTTGCAGTACGCTTCCTCTGCTTTGTCAAATGAAGGAGGTTTGGTGGATAGATAGAAGCGCGCGAGGGAACGTTGGGCACGAGCATATCGCTGATTCGAAACTGTCCATGCGCGTTCATACATTGCAGGGTCCTTGTCGATGTCACCCAGAATACAAAACAGGCGCGGGGCATCCACGGGGAGCTGTGGGAGTTCACCACCTTCAAAAATATCATTGCCATCAGTAGAGCTTGGATTCTTCCGTTTGAATAACTGCCTCCGCACCATAATTCTAGCCATGTCTTCTCTGTCTGTAGCGGCATAGCACAAGGCCGCTTCTGCCCACATCTGCAGTCGCTCATAGATATCAAGGGCACTGCGGAGACCGCCCAGACTAACCCATCGGGAAGCAAGTTCAGCCTCGAGGTCCCATCTGGTAGAGAAGTTGAGAAGCCAAATATACTCGAGCCGATCCCTTGCAGGTGCTGACTCTGATGCTTCAGGGCGAGGAAGAAAAGTAGAAGCCTGCTCAGAAGCTTCACCGGTACTGGAAATGGGATCGGATGCTGTGTCAGCAATAACCTGGTCAACTAGTGCTTGTAGCTGTAGCAAACCCCGTTCCACTGTTCGTGACCGGTACCCTTCGATCTTACTTCGAACTAGGAGAGCCTGAGAATAGACCTGCCAGTTCGAGCTTCTACCATCGAGAACTCGTGTCGCGTAGGGTAATGTTTCCTCTCTCGTGAGTCCATGTTGTGGTGAGGTATTGGTTATGGCTGATGCAATAGAAAGGAGGATGATGGAATCCAACGCGTTCAGTTTTGGCTGGTCTGAGGGATCAAGAGCTGCGAGAACCGGGGGTAGAGTTGAATGGTCCTGAATCGTCATCGATCTCTCCTGTTCCTCTACTGGATCGTCTTTCTTGAAAGATATAGCCTCCAAAAGCGTGTCGTCGTTTAAATCCAGATTTCTAGGCTTGGAGTTTGCTGCTCCTGTGTCCCATATTCTCTTCTGTGTCAGAGTTTTCTGGTCTTGATCAGCTGGAGTCCCTGATATATGCCCTCCATCCGCGCTTTTCGCCAACACAACAAGTTGACTAATATCTCGATCCTGAAATTTGGTCCGCTTCCCCAACTTCCCCGTCAGTGCATATTGGAACCCAGTTTCATGTGCAGCATGCTCTAGGTCTGCCCTGGCCTTGGTGTCTAAGCCATGATGCGTATGGATCGCCGCTCTTTCTAATAGAAATCTCGCGCGTTCCTCCACAGTTCGCGAAGCTGCAGAATCAGCCTGTAAAATCTCATCACCCAAAAAGTCCAAGTCCATGTAGATAAGTGACTGCAACGTCGTGGTATTTTCCGAAAGCATCTTCTGATGCAAGAAGTTAACTCTCATCCGAAACGTCCAGGCAAGCAATGGCGTATTTTTAGCCGTCTCGTTCTCACCGGTGGAGGAGGGAACGATAGCCGGATGATTCAGAATCGCTTTGGCCAGGCAGAAGAGCTCAACGTTGGGCGTGAGTTTATATGCTGCTTCGCCATCAACGGTCAGGCTGCGCACCATCGACTCACGCAGAGCCTGCAGAGTTTCAGCCGTCCCGGCTCCTCTCTCACCCTTTTCCATTAGGAAGTCAGCGATCAGAAGATCAGCCGACCGAAAGGGCAATGGAGGACCAGTAACATTTGACTGAAGAAATGCAGACAAGGCCGCGACCGCAATGTGGAGGAGCTGGGAACAGGTCCGTGATGCACCAGCAGCACCCTCAGCACGGAGAATCGCGTCGACACTTTTGACAAGAAAATCAATATACGATAACTGGCCATCCATGAGGCATTCCTTTGCATCTAGTGAGATCTGCTGTTGTTCAACACGGCCGCAGACCATCTGGGTGAGCGGGAGATGTAGGATAGCGCAACATGCGTCGTCTGAAAGATGGAGCGCATCATAACTGGAGAATGTGGAATTCGATGAATTGGTATATAAAATATCCAAGGACGCGGGGAGGTGCTCCAAGGCTGCCATGAGTAACTAGATTGTATTGGCTGGTTCAAGGGTTTTTCTTTTTCTTTTTCTTTTTCTTTTTCTTTCTTTTTTTTTTTTTTTTTTTTTTTTTTTTTCCTGGGTGGGGAAGTTGATCAGGAAAATATTCTGTGCGGTTAATTACCTGGCGTTCTTGAGAGTAGCCAGCAAAAATCACACTGACAATGTGCATTCATTCAGTCTCCGCCATGGTGTCCCTGAAAGCAGACATTTTGATATAATATGATGTCAATGTCAAAATTGGGCAAATTTCGATCCATTTGGTGTGTGTTCATGGAACATAATTAGTTAAAGCTCTCAATATTGGATTACTAAGTGATCTCTGAACCTTATTTGATTGTTGATTTGGGATATGAGCGGTAAGAGGTATTCAGCTTTTTGAGAAATATACATTTGGGGTTCTTCTCGTCAACTGAAAAATTAGAAGAACAAATCCAGAAGAAATATGGATGATAAAAGTTGTTGGAGTTGTGAGAACTTAATTTCACTATTGTAGCATATAATCTAGATATGGCTCTTACTCATGTGGATAGAACTGTTCTAAACATCTCCTGAGGAAATATAAGTTTTAAAACTGAAAATTACATAGGATGATCAAGGAGCCATCGCAACAGCTGCTGAAGCATCTGGCTTAGTGATATGCCATTCATTCATTCATTTAAACTAACATATGGAAAAATGAAAGACCAATCACCGCTGTAGATGGAGTGGGTGGCCTGCAAGACACAAAATGTTCCTCGTTGTTATGGATTGACAACTACTGAATGCCAGCTATCGGAAACACAGTCCTTGCTTAGAGTATAAGCAACGTGTGTGTAAACCCACCAACTCCATCCTCAAGGCCACAAAGGAATTCAATTCCCTAGACTCTCCAGGAGTTTGGTAAAAATATCACAAGCGCACTCCTTTGTTGGGGTTGTGCCTAGATATACAGAGTAGTGTGCTATATGATGACTTAAAACGTATTAAATCGATGGTACATCCAAGAGTGGGGCGACTGATTTCCCCCCAGCTCAAACCGCCAGAGCCCGTCCCCGATCCGGCCCAGTTCATACAAGTGGCCTGCAGCTCTGATCGGCCAAACCAATCCTTTAAAGACTTCCTATTCCAAGGACACAGTGAAGTTTAAAAGGGTTGATATGCGCTCTGTCTGTGTTGGACATGCCACGATGAGTTAGGCCCTATGTTCGTAGACATCTTCTTTAATCCTGTCAAATTGGGAGTGATCAGCCTCCAATGGCTCGAGGTGTTTGTGCGACTCTGCCGGTTGGTCGGGAAATCGCTGGTAACCTCTGGTCTATTTTATGAGGCTGGGCTTTGGATGGGGTTGAAGGATCTTTCTGAGAGAACGCCAGAAAAGGCCCACAGGTGTTTGAACGGAAGTACGTACTCTCCGGAGAACCACAGAGTAATACAGCCGGAAGGACCAAAATGTCCAAGGGTTGTTATGGGCCGCAGTCACTATCTTCAAAAGTGGAACCCACAGAATCGCAAGAGGAACTACAGGGGGTCAATCTTTCTCTTCAGTGGAAGAGCCTAACAATACCATTCAACCTCAACCGTGCTCTCTCAGAGGGAATGCAAATCTCGAGACTGGTGCCATCATAGCTGGATTGGGGTCTGCCGCTGAATCAAGAGCCAGCAGCATATATTGCAATACATGCCAGAGAAAGCCGAGAGGGAATGATAGCAAAGAGTAGACGGAGGTCAGCGAAGGATAAACTCCTTCGAGAAACCAAAATCCTTGACAAGGACCTTCTTTCCAAGTGAAGAGTGGTCTGTCATCTTTTCAACGAACGTTGCGGCCCGGAAATAAGGTAAGACGGTGGCGGGTCTGTAACCAGAAGCCCCAAAGCTCCAAGCTTAATCACCACGACAATCTCGCTGTCATTAGAGGAGAGTGGAGACATGGAAGACGATAAGCCTCAAGTCCACTTGCTAATCATGATCATGAGATCGTTTTTTCGTTCTTACAACGGCAATGGTACCGACGACGCCCATGATTTTCGATGGTGGTTATCAGTGACGTGATATGCCGGATTGCATCTTGGGGGGAAAAAGATCCTTGGGCAGTCTTCCATCGATGAGGGCAACCACCCGATCCTTGTGAAGTGCCAATTCACCGACAAAGGAGAGGGTAGGTACCTAACTTTAAAATCAAATCTATACAGTTTGCAGGTTTGGACGGAAAATTGCCGTGGGAGAAATTTTTTGTGGAGATTCGAATGAAAAAAATATACGTTCGTTCCCTATAGAAAACTTTTTCTGTAGTGTCTTCTGGTAACTAACTATTAGTTAGTTAAAATTAGCGAAGTGCCAAAAGGCAGGACGAAGAAGTTCCAGAACCCTTCGTTGGATGGATCCAACTTTCTCCACCCCTGGCAGTTTTGGACAATCTGTTGAGGAGATTTACGCGGGTACCAGGTGGCGAAACCAGAATAATTACTCCAAGCTCTTGATTCAAATATCATCATTTCATTAAGCGGAGGCTTGGCGAGATGGTAATTTTTGTAAGTGAGATTATTATTTTATTGAACGGGATTGTTCATCTCAAATTCACGTATTTATTGATTAATTATATTAAATCGCAACGAAACCGAGACGGCTAAGAAAGGGGTATAAGTTCCGAATTTGGGCGTTTTGAAAAACAAGGGCCGTAAGTTAAGTAAGCCCCCCCCCCCCCCCCCTCCCCTGTGGGACTCGAAAACAGAAAACAGCAAAACCAAATGTTGTAGCAAGATGCTAGCCAATTTCACCCAGGAAATGGGAAAATATCATTAGAATTTTTGATGTCCATCCCCGGAAGAATAAAATACAGAGCACAATAGTAAAATGGTAACAGTTACCCCACCCCCCCCCCCCCCCCCCAAGTGAATGGGATTAAGAGCAGTGTGAAACACACAAGGTCGTTCGTTATTGGAGTTGCCCTACGAAAAATTGCTGCTTGTTCCTTTGCGGCCCGCGTCTGCAAGCCACTAACTGATACAGCCAGCCTCGCCCCGCAAAATCCCGGACAAAGCTTTTGGTAGGGCGAGAATCAGTCGGAACCTGGAACCCTGGGGCGATTAGGTAATGTGGCAAATAGTTCACTAGTTATCGATCCCGTGATTTACACGATGCTGATTGGCTGCTGCCCTCACACCACAACTTTGCCCCCAAGAACACATAAAATAGAAAAGAAAAATAACAAAGCAGGAAAAAATGAAAAATGAAAAAAAAAAAATAAAAATAAAAATAAAATAAAAATAAAAAATAAAAAAAATAAAAAAAAGAAAATAAGAGATATTCACGACTCCCAGAGCTTGATTTGTTTATTCCCTGTTCTTATCAGGCCCTATCCGGTGGAGAATCTGGAGCCTGCTCTGTAATCTGCAGCCAACCAAGCGCCCAAGCGGGAACTTGGATGGTTTGGGAGACAGGAAGAAGCAAAGGCTACGAATCAGATTACCAGGTAGAGCCTTGTGTCATCAAGGCGGTGAGTATGTACCTACCCCGAACCAGCCAGCGAATCCTGGATGTTCTATTATACACTCCGTTCCTGGGCCCCTCCCTGGTTCGAGGTTTAGACTGTAGATCTTGCAGCAAACTTGGCTGGAACCAGCCAGATATACACAGCCTTGAACACCGCCACATAACTAACTCGTTGCTTATCAGAGTGCAGACTTTTTCTAATCTTCCCGTTTTCCTCTCCCTATTGTTTTCCTTTTCTTTTATTTTTATTTTTATTTTTATTTTTATTTTTATTTTTATTTTTATTTTTATTTTTATTTTTATTTTTATTTTTATTTTTATTTTTATTTTTTCCCTTTTTCTTTTTCATTTTCTAATTTTCTTATTTTTTTGTGCGCCCAACAAAAAAAAAAAAAAAGTGGGTAAACCCCCACCCCTTCCCACCTCTCTCTCAAAAATGGGAGAAGGGCTGAAAGTAATTAATTAGTCCATTTCAGAGTCTTATCAGTCAGTTATCAGTAGGATTCTGTAGAAGTATCTTAACAATGGAGAGGTGTGTAGATCTTTTTTTTTCTTTTCTTTTTTTTTTCTTTTCATCTTTATTTTTGACTAACGATCAAGCATTCATTGTGTGATTTTAGTTAGTTGGTTGGTGTAGAGTATCACATTGTGGATTGGATAAAAATAGGTGGCTTCAAGCCTGCAAGACTGTAAAGCCTGTAATGTAAGCCTGCGAGGTAGTCAAAGGGGACACACACAGGCCCAAATTCTCACAGGAAATGGTTTTATATCTGGGTGCTTGCATGAAAGCGGTCTTGAATGCAGCCTAAACTAAACACTCTGAAGCTGAGTCAGAGCCAGCCATACGTTGGGAAGAACAAGTGTTTCTTGTCGCCAGAGAACGGGAAGCAAGACATTGATTGGTCAGGACATTCATCCATCCCCAATCATTCCAGAGTAATTTATTATCCCGTAATACGTAGAGTTACTCCGTACGAACTCTACTGTCTTTCAATAAGTTACCTGTCAGGCATACGATTAGTCATGACTGCATAGTTTCAACAATGATACCCATACACCGCCTCCTCAGCCACCCAATCAGAGGCCTTGAATAGCCGGTATTTTGGGTTTCAGAGTTACCAAGCATACCGCGCTTCCCTTTCGGGTTTAGACTCAGTATAGAGTCTGCCCCATTCCAGAGAAAGAAAAAAAAAAAAAAAAAAAAAAAAAAAAAAAAATTAAAGAAGTTGAGAGTTTTATAAAGACAAGAATTTCTTCCCCTTCTGCGTTTGTTTTCTTCTTTTTTTTTTTTTTTCTCTCTCTCTCTCTCTCTTTCTCTCTCCATCTCCACTCAACCCTTTTTCATCTCTTGTTTTTCTTTTCCGTCTTTTCCTTCTCTTTGGGTGTTCTTATCATCTTCTTGTGGTAGACTTTCGAAAAGCAAGGGTCTTGCAGCTTTAGACGGTTTCTCAATCTTGTTCATTCATATTCCGCGTTTGCGAGGAGCTCGCTTCTCTTGAGTGTGTCCCAACTTCGATCTTTCGCTCTCATCACACAAATAAAATTTGAGCGAAAAATCTCTTCAACGAAAATATCTTAATAACTCCTTCATATCAGTCATATTCAGCTATTCTTCTTTTTTTTTCCCCTTCTTACAAAGGAAGGGTCCTAAATTCTCCACCATTTCATCCAAAATTTCATTCAAAATGCCTGCCGTTGACGTTTCTCCATCCATCCCATCCCCTACCGGCAAAGAGGCCGCCAAATCCATCGCTGTCCTCGAAGAGCTCATCAAGAGCCTTTCAATCACCAAGACTGCTGATGAAGCTAAAGCTGCCGCTAACAACATTGCCACCCTCCTAAACGGCCCTGTCGAAGAGCAGGTTCTCCCAGCCAAGTAAGTCATTGCTCTCTCTATTTTTTTTTTTCTTTTAATCTTAGTAACCCAACGAACTACACTGGAGCGTAGCAGAAGATTTTTGGAGTTGACTGACTGACTTGCTTTCTTTTTTAAAAAAAAAAAAAAAAATTCAGGGCTGTTGAACTCCTGAAGAAACAACTCTCCAACAAGAAAGATGCTGGTGCTCGTGAGCGGGCTCTCGATGGCATCCTCGCCATCGCCTCACACTCCACAGTTTCTCCTGCTGTCGAGCCATACCTCGTTACTCTGCTTGCCCCAACTTTGGCTGCTGTCGGTGACAAGATGGTCTCCGTGAAGCAGATCGCCCAGGCCGCAGCTGTTGCCCTCGTCAAGGCCATCAACCCCAACTCTGTCAAGGCCGCTCTGCCTTCCATCATCAACTCCATCTTGTCAGCTCAAAAATGGCAGGAGAAGATGACTGGTCTTCAGTGTGTTGAGGCCCTCGTCGAAACTGCCCCAGCACAGCTTGCTTTCCGCGTCCCAGATCTCATTCCCGTTGTCTCGGAATCCATGTGGGATACCAAGCCCGAGGTCAAGAAATACGCTTACAGCATCATGGAGAAGGTCTGCGGCTTGATCGTCAACAAGGATATCGAACGCTTCATCCCTGAACTGATCAAATGTATCTCCAAACCCGAGAACGTCCCCGAGACTGTTCACTTGCTCGGTGCTACCACCTTCGTCACTGATGTCCACGAACCCACCCTGGCTATTATGGTTCCTCTGCTCGACCGTGGACTTGCGGAGCGCGAAACTGCCATCAAGCGAAAGTCAGCAGTTATCGTCGACAACATGTGCAAGCTCGTCGAGGATCCTCAGATCGTTGCTGCTTTCTTGCCCAAGCTCATGCCTGCGCTTGAGAAGAACTACGAAACTTTGGCAGATCCTGAGGCACGTGAGAAGACCAAACAAGGTCTCGATACTCTCATCCGCGTCGGTGATGTGAAAGATGGCAAGATCCCTGAGGTCTCCAAGGCTAGTGATCTCGAAACAGTCTCTGCTATCCTCAAGGAGATCCTCGAGCCAAAGCACAAAGCCCAGATCGTCAATTCCGAAGCTGTCATCCAATACGTTGCCGCCATTGCTGGTCAACTCGTCGACGAGAAGGTTGTTGACCTCCCATCCTGGACTGAGAACACCCTCCCCTACATCACTGCTATTGTAGGCGAGGCCGATGCCAGACCCATCGCCGAATCTCTCCGCAAGCGTGCCTCTCCCGGTGCTGCAGAGGAGTCTGAGGTTGAGCCAGATGAAGAGGAAGGAGAGGATCTTTGCAACTGTACCTTCAACTTGGCCTACGGTGCTAAGATCCTTCTCAACCAGACTCACCTGCGCCTCAAGCGTGGTCAACGATACGGTCTCCTCGGCCCCAACGTTCTGGTAATCCACTCTCATGCGTGCTATCAACAACGAGCAGGTCGAGGGCTTCCCCAAGAAGGATGAGGTCAAGACTGTCTTCGTCGAGCATGACCTTGACGCTGCTGATACAGAGCAGACCGTCATTGGCTGGACCCAGAAGAAATTGGCCGATGTTGGTGTGAAGATTTCCCAGGAGGCTATCGAGGAGCGTCTGATTGAGTTCGGTTTTCTCAAGGAGCAGTTCGAGAGTCCGATAACCTCTCTCTCTGGTGGCTGGAAAATGAAACTTGCTCTTGCCCGTGCCGTCTTCGAAGAGCCAGATATTCTCTTGCTCGACGAACCAACCAACCATCTCGACGTCAAAAACGTTGCCTGGCTCGAGCAGTACCTCATCAACTCTCCTTGCACGTCCATCATCGTGTCCCACGACAGCAAGTTCTTGAATAACGTCATTCAGCATGTCATCCACTATGAGCGTTTCAAACTCCGCAGATATCGCGGTAACCTGTCCGAGTTCGCCAAGCGCTGTCCCTCTGCTCGCTCTTACTTCGATCTCGAGGCGTCAGAGATGGAATTCAAGTTCCCAGAGCCCGGTTTCCTCGAAGGTGTCAAGACCAAGGCCAAAGCCATTGTCCGTGTCAGCAACATGAGCTTCCAATACCCTGGAACCTCAAGACCCCAGATCGCAGACATCAGCTTCCAATGCTCGCTCGGCTCCCGTATCGCTGTTATTGGTCCCAACGGTGCCGGAAAGTCCACTCTCGTCAACGTCCTGACTGGTGAACTCATCCCCACTTCCGGTGAGGTCTACCAGCACGAGAATATCCGCATTGCCTACATCAAACAGCATGCGTTTGCTCACATCGATAACCACCTGGACAAAACTCCATCCGAGTACATCCAATGGCGTTTCCAGACCGGCGAAGACCGTGAGACCATGGACCGCGCCAACAAGATCGTCACTGACGAAGATGAAAAGGCCATGGACAAGATTTACAACATCGATGGCAGCAAACGTCGCGTAATCGGCGTCCACTCCCGCCGCAAATTCAAGAACTCATACGAGTACGAATGTTCTTTCGTCCTCGGTGAGAACGTTGGTATGAAGAACGAGAAGTGGATTCCGATGATGACATCTGACAACGCATGGATCCCACGGAATGAGATCCTCGCCTCCCACGCCAAGCTTGTCGCTGAAGTTGATCAAAAGGAGGCTCTCGCCAGCGGTCAATTCCGCCCTCTGGTTCGCAAGGAGATCGAACAGCACTGCTCCTACTTTGGCCTTGATGCCGAGCTGGTCTCCCACTCGCGCATGCGTGGTCTCTCCGGTGGTCAGCGTGTTAAAGTCGTGCTCGCCGCTTGCTCTTGGCAACGGCCTCACTTGATCGTACTTGACGAGCCGACCAACTATCTCGATCGCGATTCTCTGGGTGCTCTGTCCAAGGCACTTAAGTCTTTCGAGGGTGGTGTGATTATCATCACACACTCCAGCGAATTTACCGAAGGCCTTACACAGGAAGTTTGGTCCATGCGACCCAACGAACAAGGAATCGGCATCATGACGCCATCTGGACACAACTGGGTTCAGGGACAAGGCACGGGACCTCGTTTGACGGAGAAGGATGACACTGAGGATAAGTTCGATGCAATGGGTATGTATTATGGCACCCCACTTCTCTCTAGCATGATTTATACCAGTCCAGTAACATTTTTCTTTTCTCTGCTCCAGGTAACAAAATCGAATCCTCGAAGAAAACCAAGAAGCTCACTTCATCCGAACTCCGGAAGAAACGTAAGGACCGCATGGCTCGACGGAAGAAGGGTGAGGAGGTCTTTTCGGATGAAGAGGATATGTAAAAAAAAAAACCTCTACCAACAGGGATAGATCTCCTTCCCTCTTTTTTTTTTTTTCCTTCTCTTTCCATATAGACTAGATCTTGACCCTTCTGCAGTGGCTTGTTCCCACCCTTGCTTTCTCTCTTCGTTTCCTGCCATAGATTCCACCTTGCGTTCTTCATGTTCTGTTGATAGTCACTAAAAACTCTTCCTTGATTCCTTTGGTGTATGGTTTTGCCTGGGCGTTGGTTGGATGTTACGAAATCTTTTGTTCTGTCACCCAGTGTGATATAATGTCGCTTTTTAACTTTTTTTTTTTTTTTTCATCTCTAGTCTTTTTCTTTTCTTGATCTTTTGTTTCCATTCATTGGGTGATGATGTCTTCGCGCTCGGTGGTTAAGCGGGAAGCAAAGTTATAAAGATATAACTCATCTTTCTTCTCCTTTTCCTCTTATTTTCTTATTACTTTTTTCTTGTTAATATAATGGATTCAATTGACTTGTATATTTTTCTCACCTGTCTGTCTGCATTGCAGTCAAGACTTCCCGTAAGTGTTTTGATACCGTATGTATTACAGGGCTGAAAAACGTAAAATTAGACTTAAAAAAAAGGTAGAAGTTTTCTCTTTGAAGGCCTAACTTAGTAATCTGTCATCGCTGCGACCTCCAAACCTGTCACCCATGTGCAATGGATGTATGCGTATGTGGTTGGTATAGAACTGCATTGCGACCTGACGGCTTACTGGTTCGGGTTGTAACAAGGAAACTATACCGACTCCAAACCCCTAACTCTATACCATCCCCACTGTCCTTCCCTCGTTTAACTACAACTGTGGATTGATGTGCTCTACCTAACCCTCAAGGAATCGAAATGGCTCCGCATCATGGCGACAGGAGAAGAAGCTCGTGGTGTGCGCACCATCTTCACAGGAGACGGAGCAATTAACCAACTGACTTAACCTCCCAGTGTCCCTCCCCTTGGCTCTATAACTTCAAGTCGTTCTCATAGTTAGCAGCCTTTTGCAAATTTCTGGGTTATGTTGATGGCTTAATAAATCCCAATGGTGGAAAACAGGCCACGTGACGAAAGGTCCGACCGAAAATACGCGGTCTTCTCACCTAGTCAAGATCTTAATTGTTCCGTATACAGTTCAATTCCTTCTTCCTCTGATGTGGATATGCTGGAATGAATGCCCTGGACAAGTCGAAATGGAGAGTGATTACAGTGGCAATATTCCTCCTTCTCTTGCCGCAGTGGTGAATCTGGAAAACAACCCCCAGCCACGTCACAGCTTGACGCAGGGACAGCTGCAGCTGGTAGCCTGAAGATCTTTTTCTGAAAGTGGTCGGTCATAAAGCAGTCTTCTGAAAAGAGCAAGGCAGATTAGCATCCTCAGAGCTCCAGAATCGTCTGGATGTCTAAAGACGTATGCAATTTTGGTGGGGAAGCTGTATCTGCCTGATGAAATAGTCCAGAAGTTGTTGGGCTTCTGCAATCCATCGACCTTTATACCATGGTGTAACCAAAAACCGTTGTTACTCCTCCGCCGTCACCGCTAGGTTAGCTAGGAAAATTCATCGCCTCTCATCCAGCAGCCGCAAAATGCAGCAGCGGGATGACCGATGTGCTTTTGCCGTAGCCACAGAGGATATTTGGAACGATCCCGTTCCCATCTGCAGATCCTCCACGAGCCTTGCTGACGTGGAAACTATCGTGTAATACTTAAAAAAAAAAAAAAAAAACCGGGCACAAAACGTTTCCATTTCTGATAACGTACTCAATTGGACTGTCTGTACAGTGTGTTGACTGAACCTCCATGAAACAATGTGACGCCGTTACTGCTTTCCTCAGCCGAACCTTATTTTGGCCGAGACGGATTACTACCCTACAAAGTACGGAGTTGGAGGTTGCAGATCCTATATGAGTCAACATTTGTTGTTCATCGTCACGGAGCACACCCGTGGTTTCGGAGGTAGATATCTCTCCATTTGAAGTTGTCACAGCGGAGCTCAAACTTCCAGCCCACATTATCACCTGTGCAGAACCAGTTGATAGCTGACATTAGATTACACAATTTATCAAACCCTTCTGGGTGTGTTGACGGCATCTCTGGAAATTATAGGATCTGGGCTGAATTTGCTGAGAAATCAGAATTACATGGTGGGTGGAACGGGGGTTCAGCACCTGAACTGACAACGAAGCACTAACCTCGGAGATGTCTTCCTCCCAGAGGTCATTTGTTTTTATTCTACATCAACGATGGACTGAGGGAGCAAATCTTTGCATAGATACCTACGTCAAGGCTCCCTTCCAGCTCCAATATGTCGTCTAAAAGCAAGTCAAGAACGCGTTGTTGGATTTGCTATCAGAGAAATGGTCTAACTCTCTATCCGATATGCGTTATCGAAAATCCTATTCTGGCAACCGACAGAGAAGCTACAAGATATCTGTGACGAGAAATTCTATCCGATCACGACGGAATTTAGCTCTTTAGGAGGGTAAAGATCTTTCTCTCTCTCCTGCTTCTTATTATTTCCCATATTCTTTCATTACCTACCTCTTCTGGCTTCTCCCATTCCTACATAAATTCTTTCACTACTTTCCCTCTGTACCTTTCTTCCATGTTTCCAAGCCCTTTCAATTTTCTCCTCCTGAAATAGGCTATATGGATTGAAGCGCTGGCAAGCAACATGTAGGGATATACGCCATGGGTGGTAGTGGTAGCGCTAAGACGACGGTGCATTTCGTATAAACAGTACTGAGAATTCTACAGCCAAGGTTGTGAAGAAATGGAATCATGCATGCCTTTTTTTTTTTTTTATGTCTATCCATCTCACGAAGTTATGTAACTATATCGTAAAGAAAATTATTTTGTCACTGAAGTAAGTGTAATTGGCCCCTAATCATCCCTTTTTCCGCTGTATTAAATACATATGATACCTTGCCATTTCCCCACAACGGCGCCGATGCCAACGAGAACCCATGTTTTCAAGCCTGCTCTAGGTGGGAAAATCTTTGAGTGATGTTTTCTCATTCAAATAATTATTTTTTTTGTGTTAGTTTTCCGTCAGGTAGGAAGTGAGGAGAAGATTGAATCACAATTCCCGGGTCTCCTCCACCCTGGCTATGGCTGCTGGTCTGCTGGGTTTGAAGATTCTGTCTGCAAGGCAATTCTTGCCAAAAGCCAAAGGTAGCAAGCATTGTTTCCGCTGTGTTAATTTCGTTCCATATTGGCAATATTTTACAGATATACGCGGTTCTTGTTGGGCTCCATATGACTGACGAACGTTTGCAGGGCTTTCCCCAAGTGCTGAGCGGACACTTGGCTGGTTGTTACTATTATGGTGCTTTGGGCCATTTTATGTACAAAACAGCGTTTCCTTTTCCAAGTCCCAATTCTATTCCCTACATTTGGAAATGACACTATGCACATATTGAGCCATGGCACTGTATCTTGCTTTGGTATTTATGTATCTTCCTCGCCTTCACACCTCGCTCAGTAGTGGGAGCACGCATCGACAAAGTCGTTAACTGGGCACGGGAAGGTTCCCTGTGGCCTCTCGGTTTTGGACTTGCCTGCTGCGGTATGGAAAATGATGGCTGTCTCCACTGAAGAATACGAGAATTATCGGAAATAGTATTTTGCTGTTATGCTGTAACTTGTTTTTCTCTGGTTGGAAAACAGCAAGCAGCCAAGCTTGCGCTGCGGTGTATCTCTGTGGTTATATCCAAAGGAGTCCACTTCAACATCTCAACTCAGTCCTCTTGTGATTTCTCTTTACCTGACTCTTTAGTAAATATAGCTGTGAAATGGACAGCAGTCCCCGTACCAGTAGCAGAGCTACATTGCGAGGGATGGAATTACCGGGGGTAGGTTTTAGGTTCTCTGAAAGCTCCCAATCAAGGAGTATAAATACAAAGTTAAAAAGTATACGTGTTACTATATTTATCAGATAGTTACCGCAGCGTCTCAACGCATCTACCCAAGATAGATCGTCCTGTCTTTCTTAATATATATATATAAAATATAAAATATAATAAATAAATAAATAAATAAATAAATAACCAGCGATCTATAATAAACCCCTCTTAAAATTCGAAACGCCTTGTGGCACTTGCAGTATGCCAATTTCAACCAAGAAAACACACCCCAAAATCTAGCCAGCTAGAGTGTCCAATCAGAAATGCAAAATTCAGAAATCAAACATGCGTTGCGCCGTCCTTCATTTTATCATCACATCCTTTCCCTTTCCAAAGGGCCCAGCAAATCGTAACAGCTGCCTTGATTCCAGTGGCCAACCACAACGAACTAGCCACCCCAGCCTTCTTAGATATGAACCCGGAAATCATCGCGCCGATAAACAAAGCAAGAAACGTGCCAATGCGACGATTCCTGACTGGATGGACATGCCATCCGACACCCCCGTCAAACAGCCGTGGATCAATGAGTAAATCGCACAAGACCGTCGTGAGCACGACGGTAGGGATTTCATCCACGTTAACGAAGCGGGATGTAACGATCTGTCCGCCAGCTTGGAAGGCGAGTAAGGATAGCGGGAGCAGTTGCATCCATTCAATGGGATCCGTGAGGAGACCTGGCATGCGTTTGACGACTCCACTTTGAGCGAGGACGGCAGCTGTAAGGATGGCGAGAGTTTGGATGGTGAAAGAAGTGATGAGGGTTGAGCGACGGAGGGGTTTTAGAAGGCGGGAGCCGTGAGAGAAGAAGAGGATGCCGGTGACGAAGGATATTAAGGCCATGAGAGCTTTGGCCCAACGGAAAGGGGGGTGGACGGGTTGGCCAGAGACGCCTAGGGCGATAAAGACAGTGTTTCCTGTATGTATGTTAGTATATGATGATATATTTCTTCTCTTCTTGTAAAAGAAGCCTGCTCTGGATGGATAGAAGGTATTAATAGGCACCTGTTTGCATATTGGCGAAACTTCCCCACGCATTAAAAGCCACACTGTCAATCACCCCGCTGACGAACGAGCAAGCTAGCAGGAGCATGTCACTCCACGCGGGGTCGACATCCTCCTTGAGATGGTAAACTAGTTTCGAATGCCACGGAAGCTCAGAGATACAGCTTTCCAGGTCAACTAGAGTGAAGGAAGAACTGCGTGAAAGATGGGGCAGGTCATGTTCACCCTTCCTAAGCCGGGACAAATCACGTTCTTCTTGTGCCTGGGAGAGTCGGAGGATGGTGGGGGAAAATTTAACACTGCGCTCCTTGGAATCCATCATGCCTGAAAGTTGAGGGAGACTTCGGTGGCTGTAGTTGACCCTCATTCTGACGTTGGGCAAGGGCTCTGCTTATATTCAAGATCGTAGCATGCACCCTCGACAATCGGATATGTAGATCTCGGGGAAAATGGAAGTTTTTGGGCTCCGATTGCAACGGGCATGCATCAACTTCTTTCAGAACGCCACACACGCATCCGTGTAAGTTACAAATCCAGTTTCCAACCCGAGTATGTCAGCAGAGATACGGAGGAAACAAGGCAGAATTCCAATATCGATCCTCGGGGGAACCAGAGTTTCTTGTCCCAGAAACGCACAAACCAATTTGACTTCAGCACATGTTCAAGATAGGGGGCAGGATTTGCAGCCACGTAAGGACTAGACCAGTTAGGAAATAAGTGTCGATTCTCAAGCTCCTCGAACAAACATCTGGTGGGCTGAAATGATCTGCACTGGGGGAGGGGGGGGGATCGCATGCCAAGAGCTGAGCAATAATGGTCCAACATCTTATCCAGCAAATGAAGGTTTTGCGCTGCCAGGGGAATCCTCATCATGACTGATAATGACGCGAAAATGGCTATCGAAGAACTGGAAACAGTAGTGGTTAGTATTGGAGTAATAATAGCAGCAGTCATCTCATCAGTAATTCAGCGGAGTTCAGGGGCTGGTTCTCAGGTGAGGATTCCCTCCGTTTGTTGGGTCAGGCCGGCCCTTGGCTGAGCTTGGATTCAGGGCCAAGAACTTCCACAGTCCGGGATATTTGGGGCCAAGAGAAGAGATCCACAACGGAGGAGAGGAAAGGAAGGGAAGGGAACAGAAGTAGAACATGAGAGTTGAGATCTAGATGATGATCGTGGATACATATTGCGAGGAGAACGGTGATAGTTTTGGTCTGTCTATTATTTCTGTTTTTAAGCAATGGGTGGATCCTTTCGTAGTATTGAGAATAATTTCTCAACCTCAACAACGTGGAGGAACAAAGATAAGCTTGAACCCCGTTCCAAACAGAACATTGGATGAAAGAAAAAGAAAAGAATGCGATGAAATCCGCTGCCGCCAATTGGAGTGATGCAGAGCACATCTATTGAGCCTAGCGCAGCCGCCACCAGGAGATAAAACGCATCTATGGATGCTTGGGTGGTACAGCTAACAAATACCTATGCGCGGAATGAGGCTGTGCCTGATAACAGAGGTTTGATAACTAATCTCTGAATCTTAGGCATCCCTGATCAGTGATCGAACAGCAGCAAGTGTAGCCGTGTGGAACAAGTATTTGAACCTATCCACTGCCAGGGAGATTTGGCCTTCCGGGCCCTCCCGACACGTGGACGATGAATTCCAGGGCCGGATGTTTGAAATTTAACCTGAACCGGTTGTCGAAGCAGATTCATGTCATGGGCAGCTGTTGCTGGATAAAAATTTCTCTGGCAGATCATCGGTAACTAATGACCATCGCATCCATATGGACGCGTACACATACTGTCACATGACGACTCTCAACCGACCGCTGTCCCAGGCATTGCGAATAAATAGCTGAGAGAAGTGGCTGGGCTGGGCTGGGCTGGGCTGGGGCTGGGATCAACAATTGGTTGCGATGACTCGAGCCAAGCTGAGTTGCATATTGGTAGTTAAAGCAAATGTTTTTGTGATGATTCAGGTGGGCCAGAAGATTCAACCAACCAGGCAGCCAAGCTTTTCACGGAAGTTTTTATACAACATTCATCCACAGCTCGGAGACATGGGTAATAATTTATATACTCCCGGAGCAGACGCAGGTAAGAACAGAACCCCCCATAGTCCAGACGTCTGGAGGCAAACAGAAGAAACAGAAAACAGAAGAGAAGAAAAACAAAGGATCGGATTTGCAAATGATAGGGCCTGGGACCAACACGCCCTATCTAGTCGCTATCACTGCTGCTGCTGCTTGAAGAGCTCGAACTGCCGCCCTTCTTGCCCTTCTTGTACTTCTTATCCTTCTTCTTCTTTCCGTGCTTCTCCTTGTCCTTCTTCTTATGCCTATGCAGAGAAAATTGTGAGAACGATATATATATGGTCAACCCTCGCAGAGGTCGAAGAGATATAACAAGGAGTGGAAATTTAGGACTTACTTTTTAACTGCATGGGATGCAGCGTTTGCGCCCACAGCACCAACAACAGCACCCCCCAGAGTTCCCAACATACCACCTTGAAGCTTATGGCCTACAAACCCCCCAGCAGCACCCCCGAGGAGGGTTGAAGCTAACCCTTTTTCCCCTCCTGGTCCGCCGTGCCCACCGGGTCCGCCGGGTGTGCCAGATGTTGGTGGTGCTTGGTTTCCATAGTAGTTGGCATTCTCTCCGCCAGCTTTTTCAGAGGGGTATGCACCGAAGGATGGGGCACAGTTGTCATATCCCTGTCCGGAAGGGGCTGGAGACGAAGAGCCATACGGGGGTTGCTTAAGGAGAAAAAAGATGTTGTTAAAGGATCGGCTCCGTTATGTTGGTGTGAACCAAGAGTGAAACTGAACATTTGTTGCACTGTACATACCTGCTGCTGTTGGGGTGGATAGTATCCCTGCTGCCCATACGGAGCCTGCCCATACTGATCTCCCGGTGGATAGTTTTGAGGCGGATAACCTTGAGAGGGATAGTCGCCCTGTGGTTGGGGTTGCCCGTAATATCCAGGGTGTCCACCTTGCGGACCAGAGTTGTACTGATCAGGAGGAGGAGGGCCTCCGCCGTAGTAGTTTGACATTGTGTTTATGTCTTGTTTATCTTGTTTTGGTATGGCAGAATAGAGACACGAAGGATAGTTAATCGACAGAATCAACGAGTAACCGGGAACGGGCCTGACGAATTATATAACAACCGCGCAACCATGCAGCCAAGCAACCGACATCCGTTGATGTTGTTGACGTCGAAATGATCCTGACTGCCGCCTGATCCCGTGGCGCGGTTCTGCTCTTGATACCTGCCGTAAAAATAACTAATTTTGTCCACGGGTCATTGCATCAAGGTTGGCAGGGAGCGTGCGGGGTTTAGCCACCGCTGAAACATCGGCTAGGGAAGGGGATAGTTGAACTCCCCAAGCCACCGGGGGGACTTGGAGTGGATGCGATCCGTGTGGAGCCGCCATGCCGCCCCCCTCCAAAACAACCGGAAATCCAGCTGCTGACATTCATATCAATATCACATTAATCTTATCCTGGATGGAACCATCCTGTGAGAGTTCAAAAGAGAGCTCTGTCAGAATCTGAAGACTCTGACTTTACACTAGGTTAACTGACGTTTATGCTAGTCAGTACGTACTGTCATCATGATGTCTGAAGTAAATATAGTTGCTTGAACTGATGTTTATTAGTGAAGTAAATGATAACTTGCGCATAAAAACTTTGACAAGACTTTGATTAGTTTTTAAAAAATGAAATAAACTTGTAATAAAATTGAAATCAATATATTTTAAAATGTTTAAATCTCTTGTAATATAGATCAATGAAGTTGAAAAGCTGTAGTGAATTATGAGCTAAACTAAAGTAGTGAGAAGGAAAGAGAATCAGGTATTCTGAAAGGAAATCAAAGGCTGGTTAGATTCAAGTAAACGAAATATGAAAAGTCCACACGCTCTATGCAGCTTCCTTTGAGACTTAAAGAACCCGGAAATAACCTTGCTTGGAAAAACAGAAAGAGATTATTGCATAACGCTTCTGGATGAAGCTACAGGGTGCCCGAACAATGGTTTCCACAGATGATATGACCCGATAAACTCAGAGCAAGCAGATGTAGGAACACAAGCTGTACAGCTGTACAAAGTATGTAAACATTAAATTAAAAAAAAGAGACGGAAATGAAAGGAGACGCCTGGGGGGGAAGGTAACAAGAATAGAGATAGGACTACAAAAACTCCAACAGGGCCACTAAATAAACTAAACGCTTTCCATGTCATAAAATTAATTACCAGTCCTGACCGCGGTCTTTCATCAAAATCTCGATCGCAACATCCTCCGGAAGAGGGTTCGCGTTTAAGTCCTTGATGCACTCCGTCAAACCACCCGCTGCTTCGTCCACCTGCTCCTCAGACCAGCCAGTGCAAGCCATGACCATTCGTCGATAATTCTCACCCAGAACCACATTTTTTGATTTCAAACTATCCACTTCTCTGTGTATTTCATTATTGAAGTCGCGATAACACTCAAGTCGGGACGTCAGCGTTCCAATAGAAGGAAGAGACTCGAGGAACGCAGTTTGTTTATCTGAGAAACCCACTGATGCGTCAAAATCTTCGGGGAAAAGCGGTTTAAACTGAGATATGTCGAACCCGGGTGTGCTGTCGGCATTCCTAGCATCTAAGATCTCTCGACTGAACTGGTCATCTTGAAGGGTCTCCAGGAGGTTAGAAAGCTCTTCCATTGAGCGCTCTAGGTTCTTTATTTGCCTATTAAGTCCGACGCGATCTTTGGATCTGCGTTTCATATCATCTAGCTGCTTTTGTTCAATCTGCCTTGCCTTGGCACTTTCGCGGATTTTGTTGTGCCACTGTTCGAATTCTTCCTGTTTCTTGCCTAAACCGGCCGAAAGCTCATTGTCCATGCTTCCAAACGACTGTTCAATGAGAGACGAGACCTGGGAGATGGTTACTGCTTATCAGTCAGCAAAATTATATAGTTAATGTGGTTATACGCAAACCAGGAGATACGAACGGTCTAGTAACTCTCTTCGAGTTCTGGAAAGCCGACTGGTGAATGATTCTGATTCTCCATTCTGACCCGGGAGCCCACCATTGACCATATCAACACCAACTCCATAATCTGCAGGACGGAGCCCCGTGTGGTTCGGTATATGCGGGTTTGCGCCCACCTCGAGCAATTGCGGGACCAGAACAGTTCGCGCACGACCAGCTAGGTTCAGCACTGTATCACCCTGGTCATCTTGGATGTTCACCATTTCAGACATAAACTTTCCAAGGCCTATAACCTCAAACTTTTGTTGGCAATTAGAACCATTGGGAGCATTATTAGGAGCCTGTGAGCTGCCAGCTGTTCCGCCATAACGAACAATAAACTCGAGGAGGGATTCAAGGTAATGTTTTGCGGCTACATGCCCGCCGCCGCCGGTCGCAGCCATCATGGCGATGTGATGAAGTACAGTACGGCCATGGTAGTCGACTATCTCTATGGTAGGATATAATACCTGAAGTAGCTTGGAGAAACTGCGGTAATCAAGGTTGTTCCGGGTCCCTACCGCTTTCTGTAGTGCGGTCTCACCCGCCGCATTCAAACGGAAAATGTTAACACCTTTGTCAATGAGAGCATGTACGAGAGGCATTCGCGCGAGCATAGCAGCCCAATGCAAAGCAGAATTGAAGTACTTGTCCAAGGGTATTTCCAAATCCTCAACAGATAGGTTGAAAGCAGGATGTTTAGAAAAATCCTTGGCGCGTTTATCCAGGAATAATGTCATAATAAGTTTCATTTTCTGGTACCTGTCTGGCGTCGTGGCGGCAGGAAGGTGATGAAGACCCCGTAGTGGGCCGCCTGGCACTGTAGGTTCGGGATACACTTGATAAAATGAATTACTCGGTTCCGTAGGCGTGGGTTCAATCATCGAGCTGTTGGGTAGCATTGCGCTTTCGGACTGGAACGGTCGTGACTGAGCGGGTGACGAGCGAATACGTTTTCTAGGAGGTTCCAATGGCTCATCGCCATGATCCAGAAGACCTGTTGGCTGGCTATTTTGCATGTTGCTACCAAACCCACTGTCTGATGCGATGCTTTGCATGCTTTGTTGACTTGCGGACCGAATTTGAGACTCCTGGCTGCCCATCTGGGAAGGAGCCTTAATGCTTGGACGCCGGCCATCTGATCCCTTTCCCAGGGGAGAATCAAACCGAGCCTTGTTTATCGCATTTACAGCACTGGCAGCTGTGCGGGAAATGTTCTGGAAATAAGTCCCCTGGGGTGTCTGGCTCATTCCTTGGCCATCCATTGTGCGGTAAAGCCGTTTTCTTTGCGCCGCCATGGCCTGCTCCTTAGTGGGGGTTTGAATTGCTCCTCTGCCCGCGGGGCCAACACCGTCCTGGCCCATGTCATACTCAAGGAGGGGCCGCAGGAGTTCGAGAACATGGTAGTGGCGACAGAGTTCTACACCCCTCTCGTAGTTGACCCACGTCCCTTGATATTTTCCATAGCCGCCTTGCACCTTCTCGTGCTCACCAGCAGCCACTTCTTTTTCTAAAGTCTTCGTTCTCCTGGCTTTCATAACGCCAGCCACCTTCAAAATTTGAGTCGCATTCAGCCAAGAGTCCGAACGACGACGCATGACTGCAACTCCATTTACTTCCATCTCATATACCGATACATTGGAATAAACAGCCTATATACCAGACATACGTTTAGTTTCAGGTTTCAGTCGAAATCATGGAATAGCACTATTTTTCAAAACAAATCTTCAGTTCAAGAGTAAAGGAAGAATACGAACAGTATATATTTGCGGCTTGAACTCTTCAAAAGAAACCACCTGGCCATATCCATTGCTATCATCATATCCGCTAAAACTCGCTCTTTGTACGGAGTTGCGCGACACCCCGTTACTTGGGAAACTCATCGACATGTTTGATTGCTGGGAAGTTCTAGGTGGGGGAGTCGCAGCAGGGGTAGAAGCCACATTTTGGGAGGCGTTAAATGATCCCACATGGGATTGCGGCAATGACGAGCCATTAGGAGGGCCAATATTATTTCGCGAGAACGACATGGGGAACTGTATTATGCACGACGATAGCCGCGCTTTCGAAGGATAAAATTGAAACGTCTAATAAGTGATTGGCGTTTGCTGGGGCAACGAGGGTAGGGTGTTAAGCGAAGGCTGGTTTGCGGAATCCGTATTATATTTCTAAATCTGGATGTCAACAACCAAATTGCCTGTCCCATGTCATTCGGAAATAACTCGTACCTACGTAGAATTGGAAGCAAACGAGAGGTTGATCATTGGCATACTAGCCGTGCGCAATATATTGGACGATGATAGAGAGGCGCGAGACAGGAGGCTGTACCGAATCGCGTGATCAGTTAAACTAGCTACACTCCTCACTCGAAACAGATTTCAGCAGGAGAGTGGACAGAGACAGATCTCACTCAGGAGTCAGGACAGAGAGGAGAGGGTTAATGTAACATGGGACAACAAGCAGCCGCCCATTCCCGCCGCTAAGTGTATATGTGTTTGTTTGCAGTAGACCCGATATTCAGTTCGCCGTGTTGAGTCGCGGGGTTTGGGTTCCGTGGGAGTTCGCGTGGGAGCCGCGTTGGATGATTCAGCATGGTTAGTCAGCCCTCGGTCACTGAACGCGTTAAACTCAATCGGGAAATCCTTGACCCCGTAAGCCCGGGTTCATATTCTCTTCTCGCCGGAAGAACAGTAATATAAGGCATTGGCGCTATCTTTACGTCGGGATTTGCGGTTTCATACCAGAATCTGAGGCATGTGGGCATAATCATGTCGCTGCCGCCTCCCCAGATTCCTCATTGGCGCCATGTCTACAGAGCACTTCTCAGAGAATCTTCCTATCTCCCTGATCCAATTGCTCGCGAATACATGTCCAAATATGTCCGCGAGACCTATCGAGCATACTGGCCAAGAGTAGTTCCAAACTCGTATACTGGGCCCAACGGCCAGTTTTACCTGGAACGCCGGGCAAGAAAGCACCTCTCCCTTCTCTCCCGAGCAAACGAGGGATATTTGAAACCTCTACAACGAGTTTTAATGTTGTCCTATGGCCGACTCGGAAGACGACGACATGTTCTGGCGCGTCCATTCTTCGTACCGAATTCCGCTCCAAACAAAATTCCCTTTCGATTTATTATCCCCCCGACATGTCCACTTAATTGGGAGCCTATTCCCTCCCTATCTGCGTTAATGAAGTCCCAGATTGAAAACCACCGCGTTCGAGATATCGCTGTAACGCCAGTAGTTCGGCAAATCCCGCAACCAAAGAAGAGTATCTGGGATGGTCATGTGTCAAGGAGAAAGGAGCAAAAAGCTACGGAAAAGTGGTACAATATGATCATCAAAAGCATTCTCCCTCCCATTCCAGATCAGGAATGGAACATCTTACACGATCTGGCAGTTGGCAAGGAGCCATGGGCGCTGCCAAAGAGACGGAAACGACTAGTCACAAATGAGGACGAAAGCGCTCTTGACGCTGAGTTCCTGGTCTTTGGTCCCCAGAAGGGCCACACATTCGAACCATACGTACGTGGAAGGCCGCACATAATCACACGAAAACTCATAACTCCGTTATGGGAGCGGGTGCTTCTGGTGACACCACGGATGACACTGGATCCAGAAAATAAAAAATGGGTAGTATGTTGGGGAAAGCCGATCAAAGAAGTTCCCTACTTCCGAACATTGGATCCTAAGACAGGGATTGGTTTGTCTTTGTTTGATGGTGTTGATAGCGTTACTGGAGCTTTGCTGAAGCCAAATATGGCGCGAATACCGAAAGCAATGGACCCCTCACCGTGAAATTCACTGCAGTGGCCACTTCACGTATTCTGATTGTCCGCCGTTCTTTGCTTGACGAGCGCAGTCCACTGGGGTATGTAGTGATCTCAGTGTGTCTTCGGGATGTGATGGAATACTTACCAAATTTCTATCGTATTCGTCCGCTGACTTCCTTGGCATCTCAATTTCCAAGCCCAATATATCTACCAATGGGGCCTCAGCTTATGAGGTACCCATGGCACTGCTAGCCCTGCATTTAAAAAGCCATATCGACTCAAACCGCTCTGAATATGCTATAGAGCGGGAAATGGAAATTGGGAAGTAGAAGACGTCAATCCATTTCATGCGTGAAAACTGGAGTCGATTACAATGAACTCGTTCTAGAATATCCTAATAGATTACTTCATATAGACCCAACTCGTTATGATATCCTTGACCATTCCAAACACAATTTTATTGGTGGGTGTACGAGGTGGAGAAATCCCGGTGATATATGATATTCTAAGCTGTATTACTACCTCATTTGACATGAAGAGTAGAATAGAAACACCACAATACAAGCTTGCACAATGCGCCAGCCTGCTTTTGGAAGTCGTCCATGTCACTCCAACATAGTAATACATTCTAATTTTTGAGTTGATACCCATCCCATGTAGACTCACCACGCCCTGAAAGACTTTTAACCCCTCACCTCCCCTCAACCTTCCTCTTCAAAAACCCGCAAAAGCTCTCGAAAACCACTGAATCAAACCCCTTCACCCATCGCACCACCACATTAATCTCCCCTTTCATCGTCCTGCGCATTGACACTTTAAGTCCAATCTTAGCCCCCTTATCTTGATCACCAGGAATAAAATCACCGTGTGTGTCACCCGTTCCCTGCCCGCCCTCACCTTCATGATACCTGGTGGTATCAGCAGTATTCTCAGAACCTGTGCGCGGGGCCGTCCCAACTTCCACAGCTTGTTCTTTCTCTTTCTGCCGGCGTGCATGTCTAGACCAGACATTTCCCATCGCGAAGCCGAGGCCTGTAGAAGTTTTGGTGTTCCAGTTCCAGGACATGTCGAGCACCGTGAGGGCAGAGTTGATTTTTTCGATGGTGCGGGATAGTGAAGTAGACGGTGGGCAGCAGATTGTGAATTCGGATGGAAAGGGGAGGAGGTGTTTGGGGATACTTTGGCCGCGGGGTCTTGCAATATCCTGCATTTGCGTAAGTTAGGATTGGACGTTGGGGGTTAATTTGTCTGGCTGCTGATCATCTCGCGGCAATGATATGACGACGCCTTAGAATCCTATGGGTTGGCGCAATGGAGGAGCAAGACTCACCGTCGAAGGTCGGTAATCCATCCAAGACCACCCGATTCCCCATCTTCTTGTCTTCGTTCCCTGGACGAATTCCGCGATGGCCCAATTCTTATTCCCTTCGTCATGCAAGGTGTTAACAAGCGTAGCGACACTGCTGAATTTCCCTACCATAGAGGTGTACCACTGTACACGGTCACGGAGTTGCATGCTTTCCTTAATCAGGCGGGTGACGAACTCGACTTCCCCGCCTGTTGTAATCATTTCTACCTCCGCACCAGTGCATGCCTGGATATAGATTGTGTCAGTTCATAGCGCTAATAAATGCTGTAAATAGTTTATGGCATTTGCACAATCCGAAGGGCCTATATCTATAGGCCTCTGCTTGCTCTTGAACAAACGACCTATAAAATACCTACTGAGAAAGGAGGCCTTTGCTTCGCCCTAGCAGCCGATATCAGTTCCTCGCGAGATTCATAGAATGGTGGATTGCACATGGTGAAGTCCAGTCGACTCCTCCTAATCAGTCAACTACCGTAAGCATAATTTCCGTTCTACGTACTCACAAGAGAGGGAGAAAGAAAAAAGGCCCTTACGCTTGAGGGATATTGATATCCTGAAATGGAATCAGTGGGCAGGAGCTAGTAGTTTCAATAACGTGAATACGGGAGTCAAGCTCGTTCTTCTTCACATTATCCCGCGCATATTTGAGATTTTTTGAATCGATATCTTGGGATTTTCCACATAGTTAGTCGAGTGATATTTCAACACATGAGGGAGAATAACATACCCGTAGCTGCAAATCTCCATCTTGGCCTTAGGGCACATCCAAGAAGCGGATAGATGCAACTAGCACCGGTTCCTCTGTATATTTTATCATCCAGGAGATTTAGCAGAGATGATTTACTTTTTCATATGATATTTGCTTGGAAATATCTCCTATCTTCCACTGATAATGTAACTCACATGTCGAGCCCATAAACAACCCTTTCCTGATCGTAGACGTCAGAATAGTTTTCGGTCGTAAAATCGATGAGATCTTGAAGCCAGAGGATGTAATTGAGGCTTCCAGAACCAGGGGCCGCACGTTAGCATATGGGGCGCGATTTTCAAAGGTAATGGCCAGCATCCGTGCAATAATTGGAGGGATTCAAACACATGGAAAATGTAAAAAACTCACCGATTAGGAACCTAGTTGCACCCGGACATTAGCAATCATAATGTCCCACAGCCGGGCACGGTGGACAAATTTCCCCGCGCCGACCCTGGCATAGTGAAAAAATAATATCGAACGTACAGCGGGGCAGAGTCGATCGTCAGGCAGGTCGACATTCAAGCCAAAATCTCTTTTCAGGAGGCTCTTCGTCAGTTGTCTGGCGGATGAATGGCATCAGTATACCAGCCCTCATGGCACGGCAATTTACACCAAGAACGGACATACTGACTGGACGGCGTCCGGATTGGAGAAATCGAGTTGATTATTCTGCTTCAGGCTGTTGATCTATCATGTCAATGTCATCCAGCATCAGAGTCCCAACGGATGTAATTATGGTGTATTCTTGCTCTTAATCGTTTGTGTATGTACGGAGCACAATCTTTTCAGCTGATGATATGCAACTAGCACTCACTGTTTGGCAAAATCTGGATACTGAAGCGCGAGCGCAGCAAAGTCCACATCATTTTTATAGATATTCCGTGAAGTATCCATAGCTAGTCAAAGTATCTGTTCTTATCAAGTATATTTTGTTTGTTTATTGGTTTATTCGTCATTTTCATTGCTCCCATGTGCAGTTGGTTAAGAAAGAAGAAATGGTTGAAGTTGTCTCGATGAAAATTGGGGGTCGTTTATAGTGTCATTATTCACTTCAATCGCAGTTTCATCGTCGCAATCACGGATATCCCCATTGCTTATTGAGAGACAGAATTGAGTTTTACACAATCCTGCAAGATAAAAATTATTTATTACTGTAACAAACCATAACTATATCCACAAACGAATAGTGCAATAATATTTGTCCTAGACAACTCATCCACTCTAGTCAACTGATTTCTCTCATTTGGAGAGAATGTAGCTCCTTATATCAATGTCCACGTTTCCTCCTGCATACCCGCCTCTTTTAAGAGTTTCTCATATCCCGTGCAAACTTCACCTTCATGTCTTGGTTACCGAGTGGCCTCGCTGTAAGCGACTGCCGTTGATATACAAGGTCACCAAATATGGTATGTAGGTTAGTATACGTGGCCGCTGGGTATTTGCGCTCGTTGGTCCCCAGCGTTTCAAAGTCGAAGCTACGCAGAACGATCAACAGCACCATGCGCATCTCCATCATAGCCAGGTCCTGGCCAATGCAGCGCCGCAAGCCGCGTTCAAATGGACGCCAAGCGTCTTTTGGAACTATCTGTGTTGTGAAACGCTCTGGTTGGAAGTCGCCGGGCGAAGGGAATATTTCTGGGTTGTAATGGATTATCATGTTACAGACTAGAATTATCTGGTCTGTCAATGGGAGCTTTTTACCTTCGTACATGACATGGAGGCTAGCATAAACGAAAAATGAGATTAGCATTGTAATATGACAAAAAAATTAAAAATTAAAAAATTAAAAATAAAAAACATTAAAAAATCAAAAAAAGCTTCAGGGAGTTTCATCTTACCCCTTGGCGCTGGTTCTGGCGGCACTGCCAATAGGGAAAAGTCTTAATGATTCCTTGATGATGCCAGTCGTGTAATGGAGGTCATAGAGTCTCTCGGGATGTGCCCTTATGAGCTCCACTGTGCGTTTGAAATCTGGATCAAACACTTGATCATGCTCCAAGCGAGCTTTCTGCAGTGCATCAGGGTGTTTGGATAGAAGCATAAAAATATACTACATAGGAAAGGAGATGTCAGCGGTTTTAATCTTTGTCGGGAGCTCTTTTCTATCAATTGCATTCTCTTACTCCGAGAGTATGGGCTGTAGTTTCGTGTCCAGCAGCCAGAAATGATTTGATACTTCAGTCATCTCTATATTAGCAAAGTGGAAACACGTAACAAACGGGATATTGAAAGGGGTACATAGAAGTCGATCTTAAAAAAAAAAAGGGTAGGTTAGATACTTCGAAATTGCCATCTCCATGAAGTCCCTATCGCCGACGATGTCCTCCTGTTTATCTAGCTTCTGTTTAAGAACCAAATCCAGAATAGTTTTTGATTTCTTGACGGACGATCCCTCCTTCTTCATCTTATCAAAACAAGTGATCACCTTCTTCTCTACATATCGATCAACTTTTCGCACCATTCTCCACGTTGGGATCGCGTACAGTAACCGTCGGCCAATATGGCCTCCCTCGAAAACATAGTCCAGACCAGCTCTAAAGGTTGATACGAAATCATGCCCTTCCTTACTATGAAACGGGCTGTCGAACACGACACGTCCAATCACATTGATTGTCAGATCGACGTTGATATTTGACATCGAAAATACTTCCCTGGACCTTGCAAATTTGGCTAACTTATTGTAGTATAGTAGAACTTCATCGACCATACCATCCGTCAACGTACGAACATAAGCCGGAGAAAATGCAGGAGCAAAGATAGAGTGCAAAGCCTTCCATTTCGCGCCATTCACAGATATTATTGAGCTCTTCCCCAAGAATGGGCTAAGGAACTCGTTCACCACAGGGTCCTTCGGGAATGCCTGCTCTGTAGTCACTTGGGCAGCGAGCTCGGGGGCACCAAGTATTACCATGGGATATGCAAAAGGCCAGAGATCTAGGTAAAATACGTCTGGCAGGTTGTATTCGCGCGAGATGGTAATGAGCAGATGATGAATACAGGAATTGGAAGGGTATGACTTCGATACTTTGGCAGCCACAAGTATATGTCCGAACCAGAAGCTATGCGGTGGTTGGGGCTATTTGCAAAGTTAGAGCTATTTCACTATGGTTGAAACAGGATGTTGATTGGGATGGGACATGAAGAGGGATGATAGATGTACAAGATTCCGGCATGACAGGCGAGCATGGAGAAACCGGGCCCCGATGTAGTAAAGAGCGGATGCAACAGCGACGAAAAGGGCGATTGATATTGGACCAAACGATATAACCATGAGTAAAAGGGTCAGGAAGGGAGCTGCCAAGTCTTCGTCACAGTAGTTTACCTGAGCTGCTGAAACGCCTCGCACGGAGTTCCAAGGTGGAAACTCTACGGTTAAGGGATCAGCAGCCAGTTACCTTGTTACATCAAAATTCCCACTACCAGCTAATAGTTAGTTTAGGGAGTAGCTGATGGAAAACGAGAACAAGGGATGTTGTAATAGTTTTGGGTATTGACGCTTTATCATACCCTCTCAAATGTTTTTCATTAAACCACTGGAAGATGGCAATCAAGGATGGGTGCACAAGCTATCATACTCTCTCTGTAGGGCGCCACCCGAGACGTAGCTTTGTTGGCCAGTTTAAGTTAACTAAGTTCCCCCAGTCGACTGTATCGTTATCTGTACCAGAAGCTTGAGAAAAAAGAAAAGAAACGTATTCTCTCCTTTTGGAATTTCACACAGATATTCTTGCTTAGTCCAAGTGAAATGAGCTTCATCCAGCCATGCTCAGCCAATGACTAGTTATTATTTTTAGCACAATGTCACTGCCTCAGGGGCATCTTTAGTCCCCTGTTCAGCTTACCAGATGTGATGATATTATTGACAAGGTTGTCAATGTAAAACCACAAGTGAGTGAGAGACAACTTTTTTTACCTACTAATTAAAAATTCCCTACTCTTTAACGCGCAATTATGCCACCAATTCAAATGAAAGATTCTTCAAAATTCTATTGAGAGGGGGGGAAGGCTTGGACTAGCAATATCTGCTTTTAAAAAGGAAGAAAAAGGCTCTATTCATGAGATTGCAAGCTGTTACAACCTGGAAATCAAGAATGAGTGACTGCTATTGAGTCAGTCAACGCATCAGGCTGAGCCTTACCCCCATACATGATTCTTAAAGGATCAGACTCTACAGAAAGGCTGGTTTGATGAGCTGTCAAACGGCTGGAGACTTAAGATGTTAAGTCCTAATGACTGGACTACAGATGAAATTGAGGTTACAAGATGTATATGATTGTTGATCTCTATTACCAATCCTCATAGGATTGGCACTGATCTACTTCTTATTCTGGATGGGCATGGCAGTCATTTTACCTCAGAATTTGATCAGACATCTTCCCCTTCAGCTAGTCAATCCAGCAACTCTCAGTCATCCTGGATCCGACAATCACCTAGAAACCCCTGTCAATTACACAAGTAGGTGGATAAGATCAAGGGTCTTATGATGCAAGGCCTTGATGCCTCTTATGACTTAATGAAAGAATTTGATGAGATTATTAAAGCTTGTGAATATGAGATGGTCAGTGTCACTATTACGAAGAAGCAATATCAGGAATATATTCAATGCCAATGAGATAGAGAAGCAAAAATGGAAGAGATCTACACATCAGATTCAACATCAATGAGGCCTAACTAGGGTGTAAGCTCAAGGTCTCATTATTCAACCTGCAGCACCTGTTGAACAGCCAGTTAAACCCACCGCGGAGGCCCTGATCCCAGAGCCTATGCCACAATTACAGGCTCCACCACACTGCACAAAATGCCATACTGTAGAGCACCCTAGAAGAAGCTGCCATAATCCTATTTCTAATTAAATTTATATAGTTATTTGTTGTTGGAAGTGGATAGCTTGGGTTAAATCGAGAGATTCAATTTTAGTGTCTCACTCACTTGTGGATTATGTTAAGCTGAAGGCTTTCGTGAACATTTCCATGATAGGCTGGGGAGGGTCAGCCCTGTTGCCTCAGACGGCCACTGGCTCAACTAATAAACCTGTAAAGGCCCATAGTCTCAAAGATTGATCCTTTCACATCAAGAATAATGCTTAAATTCTCATTCTACTCCAGGATCCGGCAGAGTAATAATAATACATGCATGACACTTCTTACAGGACGCGGATATGCAGTTACTCGATCGATTCGGCGTTTGACCGAATATCCAAGTCGTCCGTGCAGAGCTGGGATGATGGAAAAGTTCATTCAGTGTTAAAAGGTTGACTGGATTCCCTGCCTAGAGTTTGCGGCCTCTCACTGGGATGACCAGACGTACTTTTATATCATCATAAAGGACGACGTCCTCTTCTTGTTCATTCTCCATTATAGGCTCGTTGTTAAATTTAGATGTTTCAACTTGATGTTTTCCCCCCTGGATGAGGGTATGAGGTAGTGAAACAAAGGTAAGCTGCTCTTCCAAATAATACAGCCAACTAAATGCGGATCACGGGCTAGGTAATGGATGATTTATAGAGCGGACGGAAACTACCAAATAGTTGGTAAAGGAAATGACACGGTTCAAGACCACAGTCAAAAATCCAACGAGATCGGTGCTAAATTATTCGTCCCACAGACGTGAGGAAAACGTGTGGCATGTCGCTATGTACGAAGTACCATGTCCCTGTAGTTGAGCCAGTTCAGCCCAGGAGAGGATAATTTACTGTTTACGGAGAGTTACATAGTCGGTCGTATGCCGTATGGAGTACCATAGGGAGTTATGTATGCGCATTCCTCGGGTTTGGGGGAGGGGAAGTGATCGGGACAAATGTTAAGGAAGACGACAGAATAGAGAAGCGCTGCAACGGGCGATATTTCGATCACCATAAATCTCATGATTTTCCGTTCCAATCGACCGTCTCACGAAACAGCAGATTAGGGATCTTCCATAATACCCTCTAAGTCGGAAAAGGACTCTTCACTGTCCTATTTTGTCCCTCTTCTGTGGGGTTCTCTTTAATTTTTGATGTTGTTGTATGACCAAACATGGTGAGAATTTTTTTCCTGCCATCCTCTTACAGGTAGAGTTTTTTGCGACTCTATTAATCTCTCCAGTCGATTTTACTTCCGATGTTCTGGTCATTATCGCCAGAATTTGTGGTTGCAGCCCTTGTCCCAGGGCTCCCCACGGGACATGGTTGTGGATGATGTCAGTTCCCAACCTCGCTGGCAATCGCTGTTTCTATCAACTTGTTAGTTTCAGTGAATATAGCAAGGCTAACCTTCCTTACCTTACAAAGATGGTTCGCTGTTCCAGCGTCTAGAGACGTGTTCGATATAAGGAACGAGGACGGGAACTTCTGGGATTAGAGCAAATATACTGTGATTGGATAGTCATATATAGCTTGTTCAAATGATCAGGATTGAAATCAGACTCATGGGAGCTCCCATATTTATAATCAAGGCTCACGGCTATCACTGTTGTTGCCCCTGGCTTCCTTCAGGTATGGCTGAGTTCCGGCAGGCTCTAAATGAGACTGTTGTTATTCCGCGACATCCAATCGGTTAACTATCGCGCTATTCCTGGGCTTCGCAGGGAATAAGCAAGCCAGAAACCAGCTGGGATATATTTCACCATGCTTTTGCTGGAATAGTCTGTTAAATGAATCCAGCATTTTGCGACTTGAATGGACAGCTGTTTCAAACTCAGTTGAGAATAATTAGTTGGATAGGTGTTCCCCTGAAATCTGGCCCTTAATGCATTGATGCCTGAGAAAAGATCCCATTGTTTGGATGTCATTGTTTTGGACTGATTGAAAGATTAGACTAGGTATATACCTATCATATCACTCAATCCGTTGTTGACTGACATAGACTTCATGAAAATTTCTCATCTCTTATTGAGACTTGGATCACAACAAAACATAGATTCACAATCATACCATGATTGGGTGATCATGGTGGCATGGCGGATGATGGTGAAAGGTAAAAAATCCTGACCAGTACAAGGCATTTCAATTTCGCAATTCCACGGCTGGCCATTTACTCAATCTTGCTCAGAGCATCTCTGTTTTTGATGAAGCTCACTTTCGAGCGTTACTGTTCGATGCTTGGGATGAATGGTCCTCAGTCACCGAGTTTTCCCTTCAATTCTCAGCTGAAGAGGTTGTAGAGATTGAAAAAGATGTCGAGGGTGATGATGAATATAGCCAAAGAGAAGCTTGGAGATCTGTGGCCGGAAAAGGGGATTAGTTATGAGGCTCTGATGACAGAACTGAAGGAGGTAAAGGTGCATACCATGTGGAGATACTTGAAAAGTGATGAAGATCAAAGAGGCATTTGAGAAGTGTTGGCTGTTTGATTGCTAGGAGGGTGTTTGTCAGTGCGATCACTCTCACAACAAGTTATTTATTTATCTAATTACAGGATGGAGTGTTACAATCCTGTAAGCAGGAGAATATCAAGCAAACCCTGATGATATGCGGAAACTGGGTCATAAAGAACTTCAAGTGTACTACTGTATATATATATACAATACATACAACAAACACTTGGGACGAAGGACATGATGTTTCCACTTACTTCATGCACAATGAACGTCTCCCCCCCGAGCTCCTGCGCCCTTCCTTCTTACATCAGTTCCGATGCTTTGCTTTCCGAGAATATAGAACTCTAGGCTGGCTTGTTCCCAACGAAACATGGATCTAACATAGCGTGGTCTCAGACTCCAGAATTCGTTTATGACATGCATATATTATCCATTATTAATTGTTATCATGCTTGTGTTCAGTCGACCTGGTCAACTTAGCACCAAAAATGATAATAATAACAATAGTAAGCAAGCAAGGAGTAAACTAGCGTTAGTTGGTACGAGGGAAATTAGAAAAGCTAATTAAATCCACACCTCCACGTTATGATCTTCGCTGCAATGCGAAATCCTCCCTCCAAAAAAATAAAAATAAGAAAAAAAAGGGAAAAATGGAAAATGAACAATAAATGAGTGGGTAAAAATGAAGGAAATAAGGAAAGAAACATGGAAATAAGAATGGGAAGAAATAAGAAAAAATGGTCAGTGTCTTAAGGTAGGAAAAACATGCTGAATTCATGAGGACAGAGGAAAACAGGCCCTTAAAAATAGTCAAGTCCTCTCTAGCTGGCTGGTCAGTTAACCATAATGAATCTCATTTGTTGTTTTTGATGGCAATTATTGCATTTAACCGCAAGACAGAGTTTACACTGCCAGGCAGCAATAAATGGCCCAGAAGTGCAAAAGTGACAATACCATTGCATGAGTCCACCAACTGGGCTCTGAATCAACGCCCAATGGTGAGGACAGGCCATCGTTTGAGATATGTGTAATTTGTACCTGGCTATAGCCAAGCCGCTACTAGCTCCTGGTTGGGATTGTTTGGGAGTTTTTTTGTTGGGGAAAGCTGATAGGTGATCAGATTTCGGATTTTTGTTTAACAAGCACGATTATTGGACTATTAGATCGCGTGGTTTGTCGCAGCAGACGAATCGTTGTTTTTTCGATTCGATGGGTCACTCTGCAGGGCCAGAATTCCCGACGCTCCGGTCTTCGGGTCTCGTTGCTGTGTCCCTATAGGCTAGTCAACCTAGTTTTGTGGGTCGTTCCAGTCTTGAGGGATTCCAACGAAGACGAGGCGGCTGAGAACTGCAGGAAGGGGAAGCAGATTTGGGATTTATGGCGCACGAACAAATAATATTCTTATTCACCAACGCTGGATCGAGGAGATTGGGAAGTGAGCTTGAATATGTTGTGCCAAAACTAGAGATGGTTGTTCGAAGATGTATTTGAGGAAGTGATATTTTGGCGGAGTATTACCCGTAGGAAGGAGATGAATTCGATGATCACGAAGAACTGATCTTTGGCGGTGGAATCGATTGTTCTTGAAGATATTGATCGGTAGGAGCCAACAGAGACAGTTGGTGTGACAGTAAAATCCGGGAGAAAAACTGTCAAACAGTTGACGGCTTTCAGAGAATGTTTTCCAGAGATCAAATAGATTAAATCCAGCAGCGTAAATACTGAATCTCTGTCTCTGTCTTTCCTCCTCTATTGCGTAACTCCCCGATCGTCAATTGTTGGGCAAGATGCCAGAGAATGAACATGAAGCCCAATGTGAAACAACTGATCACGGATAATGAAAGTGTCTATCTTGAGGTGGAAAGTTGCTGCCGATACAATTGGCGCTTGGAAAGAAGTAAGCAAAATCAAAGTGAAGGAATATGCCCATTTTTTATAGCGATCATTGGGATTCAGAAGGGAATCGCATGGGAAGCGCAAGCAAGCTATCATTGATCAAATTTCAGGGCAGCCGTTCGGTCCTAGATAGAGTTTTTGTTTGAATGAAATACCTCGACGGCGCCATCCATGGTTGATCATGCCCACAAACTCTAGCAAATTCGGTGAAGCCACTGGACTCGCACGATACAAGTGACAACCGCAAGAGTTGCAAGAAACAACCCGTCTCTGGCCAGAAGGAAAGATTCTGAGATCACGGTGCCCCATACCTCACTTGGCAGTAACTATCACATTTTGGGAACTATCTGCGGTCTGAAGCGCGTCCAGGCACTGTAGGCTTGATCTGCCCACTTGATAGAACTGCAGCCCACGAACCAGGAGACTGGGACAACACCTTCTCTGGACTTGGGACTGGCCAGTGAGAGGACCCTTTTTAAATAGGCGACGGCGGGGTGTTAGATAATCTTAGCGTGCGCTATGATAGAGCCAAACTGATACCGCAACTTGACCAGTCTCATTGAGTCTCTGCCTTCCGGCTCCTACTTAGCCCTTGTCTATTCTTTCTGCTGCTGCTTTCACCGTCTCCTCCTCCCCTCTCTCTTCTTCCGTCGTTGAAACCACAATCATTAGTGTTATCACAGGCTCGTTGGGCTTCAAAAACGAGTCCTCCGTGGTGACAAAGAAGGGAAGTGAGAAGCTGTTGATAACTAGTTACCGCCCATAACTACAGAACGTGAGGCGGAACCAGCCGTGCATTTCCTGATTGGGTGACCAGGCTCATCCAGCAACTCTGCCAATTACGATGCGATTGTTCCGACCCCATCCGCCGGGTGCTTCTACACACGGCTAGCCCTGTGTTTGGCTTTGCTTTGCTTTTGCTTTTGCTTTGCTTTTGCTTTTGCTTTTGCTTTTGCTTTTGCTTTCACGAGAGAAGTTAGTTAAACTAACTAGTTATCGTTCGCTCAGCATCACCGAGGTTATCACGCCAGGAACGATCAGTGGCATCTGACATGGCGCGCGCCCTGCCTGAGGGCCAGCAACTCAGGAAGAGCTCTTGCAGGTTTACCTGGCTACAAGGTGGCTCATGTCGTCAAAATTGACCTCCCAGGTTTCGGTGCCCTGCTAGCGTCGCCAAAATCGCTTGCCAACAGGCGAAGGCGGCTGTGTGGCCTGCGCGCGCCTCGCTCCAAGGCTTATGTGTTTATAAAGATATTGTGTCAACGGGAACCGCAATTGGATTTCTGGCTTGTGCCAAATCTTGGAGGTGGTTGTCTTTATCTAGAGCTCTTCTCAGCTCAGGGAGACGTGGTCACGTAACTATAGGAAATGGGACACATCATCAAATATCTAATTCCCCAAGTCAATCAGCGAATGCCGACCATGCTCTCTCTCTGAGAAATTCTTCCCTTCACCAGCTTTCTCTATTATTCCCGCTTCTAGATTCACGCGGCCTGAGCAGCTCAGCAAGGAAACTTCACAAGATCTTCACTCAAGCGCACAGAGTCGTAGTGGAGCTCCACAATCGGTCCTGACCATAAATACCTCGTCACCATCAATATCTTGGTATGTAGACGGCCCTCCTCTCTCCTTTTTTGTCTGCATCCCGCACCGCAGTCAGTTGGGCGAGCGCGCATGCCATGAACGACCCTTAGACGACGCGCGAGGCCTGCAGGGGTCCCCTACTGGTAACATGGTAACTGGCCGCCATTGCTCCGCTGAGCAGCTCCTAGGAAGGTAATATTAACTATCCACCCGACAATATGCAGCGGCATACAATGGCTTCCAACTCGTGATATTATTCGTTGGCTGTTTACGTTCCCTGGGTGGAATATATCGATCAAACAAAGTTTCCAGAGACTACGAAAGACTTGCCGTGAAGGTTATTTAGTAGTTCAGGCTTTGTTAGTCAATCCACTTTAAATACGAGAGCGGTATGTCTGAGCACTCCAACAATCTGGAGTTTTTCTAGGAAATCCGGTGACTGAAACCAATTCTGGCTACCCTGAACTTGCCCCCACAACAGGCGTCACAGCGAAATCTCTCACATCAAGGGTACATGGTTCCATTTGTCAATTGGCAGGATATGCAAGCTCTAGGTGGACTGCAAAATGGATAATGATAAGGCTCTTGTTAAGGATACGAGGTCAAATAACTAAAAATAGCTATCATGAATTGTGGTGGGGGGAGGGGGGGGGGAGAGAGCATAATAGCAGTCATTGCTGGAAAGCCCAACTTGCGCCGACATTCTCCGCTGTGAAATTATGTTATATTTTCGAACCCGATAACAAATCTTCCTGTCAACCATTGATGCAAAATCAACCCTCTATCATGCGAGGAGAATCGAAATCGGGCACATGGCTCACTCGCAGATAACAAAAGACATCAACCTGATTGTTGCCTTCGAATGTATTTCTAATCTGGCCCCAATCAAGGAGAGCAGGGAACAAGATGATTGCATTGCGGAATCCAAAAAGAAAACAAAAGAAAAAAGGATCGGGATACAGGTTCTTTTTCGCCCATTAACCTGATCTAACTCAATCTCTAGAGTGTTGATCCCTTTAGCTGGCCTAAATCAAGCCTTTGGCCCAGACCGTCTACAATGTACCGAATCAAATCGATCTGGAGAATGTGAACTCGAAAGCCCCTATCGGGGCCTGTGCGAGCTGGAAAAGATCTGTTCTCCACTGGATTCTGCCTCCCTGCGTCAGCCAGCTCAGAAATTCCTGATTTACGCCCAACCAATCAAAGCTTCGATGTGAAGACCAATCTCATATCGTCATGAACCCCGCATGGGTCATCTGAATTTGCTATTTGCCAGCCTAACTGCTCCTATTTATGGTCCAGCCTGTGAAAACTCATCGAGATATGGCCGCATTCAACGTTCGAGGGAAAACGGTCCGAGTGAACAGTGAATATAATGGGATGTCTTTAATTAAACGCCTTTCAAAATAGCTCCATGTGCACATGTTCAGCAACGCCTTGACGCCCGGGCTCCTCTCACCCAAGCTTTCCAAAGCTGAAAAGCTTGCTGCGATCGATGTCTATCATCCGGCCAGCATGCCGACCGCATGCCAACCCAATCACAAATTTTTTAGCTTTTTGCGCCACGATGCAGTGCTGGCAAGATACCCGCCTTCCGATTCAGTGCTGGCGTAATTTAACGCCACCCATGCAAAAAAGTCCACATTAGATTCGACGCGTGCCTCATGGGATGATGGGAGTCATAGCGCGGCTATGCGGCCTTGCCTGGTCTGCCTAAATGAGCCACCGCTCAACTTTGATGTTATTTTTGTTTGAGCTTTCCATCTACGTGCTTCGTAACACTCTTTGCTCTATGCTTCGCTTTCTTCCTTTTTCCTTTTTATCCACCCCCTTTTATTTTGGTTCGTTGGCAAGATGACGCCTTGTTTTTCTACCAGGAATTTCATTTGTTGAGAACAACCCCTAGCAATGTTCATTCTCCCCAAAAAATGATACTATCAGGGCTGTGACGATATGTCCTGCAGACTACGTGCACCTTCATGAACATAACTTGGTCTCGGTCTCCCAAAGCGTCCAAACATAGAGCTTTGGGGATAACCTGCCATTTGAACTCTCCTCCATTTGCTGGAAATACCTATCCAGCCATATTGCAGCCCAAATCAGCTTCAGAAGAAGACCGCAAGAATAGCAGTCATGGATACGAATATCTTATATCAATCAGTGTGAGTGCACGATGGTATGGTGATCAAAAACCCCTCCTTCCAGCTTTAGGTCTAAAAGAAGAATACATTAATACCAACTTCGCTAGTTTAAGATTTTTGCTCCACAATTTTCATGTCAAGCTACTAGAACATAGGTATGGAAAACGAGAGAGGAACATCGTTCCTCCTCAATGTCATCCTGATTAACAGCAAGTTGACGCGACTCGCATTGGAGGGCAGCTCTTGCGTCCAGCTCAGAGTCTCAGACCAAGCAATAACTAATGGAAGCCATGAGCCAGTGGGTCTCGTCATCCCACGGGACTGAATGAATTGTGGCACCAGAGGCTGCACGTTGCTTTTTCCCCCATGTGGTCCATGCATTGTCTTATTTATTTACTAGTTCAAACTCAAGGCACGGTCCATCTGTTGAACTTGGCTCAAATCAAGAAGAGAATGGAAATGGCAAAGTGGCGAGCAGATATCAATTACTATTTTTGTGGTCTTCTTCCCTCTATTGTCCTCCCCGGCTTTCTTTTTTGTGTCTAACCCTTTACTACCCGATGCATTGACTTAATCAAGTTATTTCGTTGCTAAAAGCTTCACCGACACCAGTTGCCGCAACATAAGGCAATTATTTGAAAAGGAGGGGAAAGCTGGACAAAAAGCTGCAGGGTGACGAACGCAATGGCACCATACATACACATGTTGGAAACAAATTATTTTATTCAAGGCAAGGATATCCTTTTGTTTCGGCTCTTTCGCTCCTGATTTAATTGCAGGGTTGCAAGAATAATATTAGATGCGTTCGGCATTTTAGACTGCGGAAATAGCAAGAAACCGGAAGGTTCAAGTACATATCATCAGAAGAAGCAACAGATGGAATAGGTAAAGCAATCCGTTATAACAAAAACGTAGCCCTTCCATCTACTGAAGTACATAGAAGTATATGACTTAGGATAAAATCAAAATGTAAGAATCGAAGAGTAATGTCGGAGACAGGACGAGATACAATATCTAAGATGAACGTTCAAACTTCTTCAACTGGGTATAAAACAAATCGAGTTACAGCCATCCTTGTTCTTTGCTCCCTCCACAGCCCCATTCCTCATCCCAAACCAACCCAGCCCTTTGTGATTTAATTCCCCGCAATTCTCCCCCCGATCGTCCCCAACTCATAGAACATGAACAGGGATATTCAGGTAAAAGCGAAAGGCGAAGAAAAAAGTTCCAAAGAGGAGAAGTGAAGGCAGGAGTGAAATTGGAGAATAGAAAGGAGAAAGTAGAGAACGAGGCAAAAAGCGATAAAAAGCCGCAACAGAGGAATTCCTCTAAGGGGAAAAGTCTGAGTCGTGCATGCCGTCTCCATTCCTAGCCCCAATACTGTTCCTCATAAAAAGAAAAGAATTGGATCGGCATTTGGTTTGATCTGCCAACGCTCCGTTAAGAACAATCTTTGTGGGAATATCAAGAAAAGTTATAGGTATATAAATAACCCATTTTTTCTTGCCAGATGTCCTTGCAGTACCCTTTCACGGTTCTGCATCGTTGGTATTAATTTCATGATTTTCTTTTTCTGAAAAAATCCTCGCCACGGTCGTGTGGAAAAGCACGTACATCACATCGCATAAGGGAAATTGTGAACAGCATGCATGCATGCATGCATGCGAAAGGGTTGGAAATCGGTTGCGAAACTGAAAAGATACCATGGTTGGTTGCTCTGATGCCAATCAATAGAAGTGAAACAAGAATCTTTCAAAAACAGGAGGCGAGAAATTGCAACTCTCGCTTCGTGCCGTGCCGTCTGGAGAGTTCGGTCACGTCTTGAGTATGAACGAAGTGACCATCGGTGTATTATGGACATCAAAACCACTTTGCTTGCGTGCTATTTTGTCCCTAAAAGGCATATGGTAATAGATGAGATGGAGGGGAGGGTTTGTGGAGTGAGTTTGGTGGGGTAAAGTAATGGATACGTGGAATTGATATACAGAATTATACATAACTTAATTGAAAGAGTTTACGTAGCGGCCCGAGATAGCAGAACTGTCATCTGAACACAAACCGCATAACTAGAAAGAGCATGTTGTCAGGAGATAACGCCCAGAAAGCAAAAAAATAAATCTAGACCATTTAGCTGGACGCCTGACACGGCCGGTAGGTGGCAAACCCGGGTGGTGATAGGCTACATCATCTATGTAAAGACGGATGCAGAAACGGAGTGCGCAAAAGGTAACCCCACGATGGCTAATCGTGATTTTGGAAAAGAGCGGAGATACTGGTGAATATCAGTCAGTCAGCGATTACAATAGGTAAGAGGAGGGGGGGGAGGGGAGGGGGAAAAAGAAAAGAAAAGAAAGAAAAGAGTTATTCCGTGAATTAGCAAAGACCAACCTCTCTCCATAATGGTGACGTCTTATGCTTTCTGATAAGAGCGCTGATAAATCAATAACAATTAACTTTTTCAACTCCTTCGATTTCGTGGGAATTGGGAACGAATTCGTGACTACAATGTAATCAATGCACTCGCAGGATTCCATCTCCTGCAGTGACTCAATACCAAACAGGCCGTGTGTGGCAATGCAATAGACCTTTTTAGCTCCTCCTTTCTTCACAACTGTTTCTGCAGCAGCGATCCATGAGAGGCACTTATCAATCATATCATCCACGATTAAAACTGTCTTGTCCTTGACATCACCAACAAGGGTTATCGTCCTTTCTCCCGTGGACATTTCTTGTTTATTGTCTTCTTCATCAGAAGAAACAGCAGCATCAAAAGAGCCCCCAAGAGCATGGTCAGGTTGGAAAGACGACGTTGTGGATATAAAGGAAAGCGTCATGGGATCCTGAGTGGGTGGTTCTGAGGACTCAGTGCCATTGCGGTCCGTATGAAGGTTAGTAACAGAAGCAGAAGACGAGAGGATGGGTGAATGGTAGTCATCGTCTACAATATGTCCCTGTACTAGTCTACCTGTAATAACTTCTTTTGCGCGCTCATCTGTGTATTCAAACGCAGCCTCTTGCTCAGAAAGACGTCGGGCAGAGAGCGATGCTTCAGCATGCTGAGCCGGGCTAAGCGAACGGGTGGACTTTGATGACTGCGCCTCAGTTTCGTTAGCGGAGGTTTCTTGAGCCAACGGGCTGGGAGAGACGGTAGGCTGGGATGGTTGTACGAGAGCGGCGGTCGAAGAAGGCTGCAGCTGCGGATATTCGGATTTGCTATCATGATCCACAGGGACCAATTCATCTCGCGATGTGGGAAGACCATGTTCAAGAGAATCGAAAAATGTGGTGCTGCCTGAAACCCCCCCGTTCTTATTGCCACGCCTCCGGTCTGTGTTCACGATGCCAAAGTTCAGTTTCAGAGAATCAGCCAAGGACGTAACCCTTTTACTTCCTCCGGCATTTTTGGTGACTACAACCGCTTCGTTCCAACGAGGTACGTTCATTCGAATCCAGCGCGCAATTAGGGGCTCAGCAAAGAGGTTATCGACGGGTTTCCCGAAAAATCCTTGCATTTGAGACGCCTGGTATCAATACTGTTAGGACCAAAAAATAAAATAAAATAAAGGGAAACGAATCCAAAAGATAAAATTTCCCAAATAAGAGAATGTCCATACATGTAAATCCACTGTAATTATATGATCCACACCAGCCACAGTGAGTAGATTGGCCAACATCCGTGCTGTTATAGAGCCACGATGACTTTTCTTCTTCGATTGACGAGAGTACGGGAAGTAACTCTGGAGTGTCAGCAGTATTGGGATTGAGTGGGGAAGAGAAGGCAGTAACCTACGGCATCACAGCTGTAACAAAAACAAAAGATGTTAGCAGGGGCACAGGGTACAGTTCAAGCCGGGGAGATATAGTCGTGTAGTTATGGAGGAGTATAGATGCAAGATCTACATACCAGTAATAGACTTAGCAGAACCCCCTTTGCAGGCAGAAATCATGATCAGTAACTCCATAACGCTGTCGTTGATTTTGGCGCTCCCGCTCTGGACAATGAAGACATCCTGGTTTCGCACGGAAACACCTATATTGACGCTTGTTTCTCCATTGCTGAACTTGCGCAGCTCACA